CTTGGATGTTTGAAAGTATAATAACGATTGTTTTTTAAAATATTTTTTATTTAAAAATATATTAAAATAATATTTTTATTATTTTTTAAAAATTATTGTTGATATTAGTATATCAAAATAATAACTTAAAAATAATTAATTTAAAACAAATAAAAAGTTAATTTTTTTAAAATACAAAAATAAACAAATTTATAAGATTATCGGCACCGTTGAAAATACAAAACTCAACACAAAACTTATTTATGCACGAGGAGACAAACCAACAAATCTTTCCAAATTTTTTTAACAAATATATATATTTTTTATTTTTTTCAACAAATATTTCATGGCTTGCTGCGCCTGTGAGATTGTCGACCAAAAAAGGCAACTGAAACACGGTAATATTGATTGATCCTGCCTGTGTTGTGCAACAGGAATGATGAAAGTAGAGATCATATATTTTTTATTTTTTTCGTGATCTCTCTAGAAAGGTGTGGCTTATTATGTTCCGGAAGTGTGGTTTGTGCTGGACTGTGGAATGGGGAGATTATTATTAAAACCGTAATTTTCATTAATAATTTTATGAAAGAGTGCTATCTCCTCAAATTTTGTATTCTATGTTACATACTCGGCGAAATACCCTTTTAAGAGCAAGGCAAGTATTGTTTTTCCTCCAAACTTCGAAATGAGAATGACTGATTTGATTGTCCGTAAGAAATCTGTGTTTATCTTTATCTGTATTGATTTGTGTGTAATTAATTATGTACATTTTCTTTGGGGAAAATGCACGTCCTCGGGCCCTCCGTCCACTAGCTAGAGACATGCTTTGCATGATCCCTTCAAATTCATGCCTTCTTATGAGCTTTAACTCTCCGGAGCTTCCTGTACATCATTTCCGTGTAGCATTCTTTCTGGAGGCTATCCTTAGCATTCATCAATATCGCTCTCTAGCGCCAAACTTGTGCTCTATGGTCTATATATCGCACACGCACACCCCCTCGCTTCTAGATCTGATCAACACTCGATAAATATTTAATTAATCAGCTATCTCAACTTGGCAATCTGCTCTTGAATACAAAACGATTGCTTTAGGGGATGTTTATTTTATGTGAAATATTTTAAGAGTGAAAAATATTTTATAAAATATGGAAAAAATGTTTATAAAGTAATGATGTAAAGATCATAGTAAAATAATAATAGCAATGTGTTATAATGATATAATAATTGTGTTGGTGGTTACAGAAATGGGGTGCAGTTGTGATGGTGCGGGTGGTTGGATGCCATGACGACAATATCAATGGAAATGGTGGTGGAGGGATGGAGTGGTGGCAACAATAAAAAAAATAACAATGATGCTTGACATTGCTGGATTATTGCTAGTAAATTATTATTTGTAAAATGTTTTATAAATTTAAATTCATGATTTGTAAATATTTTTTAATAAATAAATTAAATTTAAAAATTGAGTATAAATTATTTATGTGTTAATCATTTTTTCAATAAAATATTCCATGTTGATCAATATTCTAGTAAATATTTTATAGAAAATAAACATAAAATTGATTAACTATATAATCAATCTGTATCAATCATTGAGTCAACGTGAAAAATTTCTGTTCATTTAATTATATATTCGTGTAAATTAAATTAGTTAAGACTCACTCATCCTTTTCTAATGTGATGCAGTGGTGCTGCCCTTGACATGCTCTCTCTCTCTCTCTATATATATATAGTGTATACTAATTGGCAATTCACATCCACAATTTTAATGCAAACACATTGTAATCTTAATAATTATATATTCCTTTCATAGTTGGATAAAATGGCCCTTCGGTCCATCGCATGTAGATCAAATATATAGAAATTAATATTTTGTTGGATATTCCAGAAACTTTAAATACAGATAGATATAGAATCCTTGTACCGAATTGAGTTCCCACCTCTATTTCCTATGTGATTAAGCTAGACAGATGCACCGATGATAGAACAGAGTGGGCTGATTTTAGGCCGAACTAAATTTAAGCTCTCGAACTTCTTCTATTTTTTAGTTCTCAAATTATTTTTTTGTTAAAAAATAAATCTTTTTTCATTAGACCATATATGATTGACGCCAGATGCATTGAAAGTTCAAGTCTTCGAAAAAGTCCGGACACATCAAACAAGTTCTTTGACGAAAACATATATAATTAGCTTCTAATTTGATCTTTGAATCTGAATTTTTCCAAAGCATTCCACATGCCTTGTCTCTTGTAGGGTCAGTTGGTCAGTGCCTGCTAAGTTCAGAAATTAACACGCCTAAATTAGCCCTAAAAATGTTGTTTTTATTTTTTAAAAAATTTTATTAGTTACTTTCATATTCATTTCCCAGTTATATTTTAGAATTTTTATCTGATTTTGTGTTAATTATATATGTTGGTTAATTTCAATAATATTTGAATAGCTTATATGTTATTTTTTTTATTATAAATTATTAGTTTAAAGGTTATTAACTTTCAAAATTATCAATTTATTTAGAGTTTTTCTCGATATTTGAATTGTAATTTTAATGCTTGAGAAACCATAATTTTTTTCTTTGTAATTTCTTTTTTATTAGGATAGTAATTTTTAAGGCTTGAAAAACTCTAGCTTTCTATTAAAATATAAAAATTAAGTTCAATTCAATCCAAAATTCAAGATAACTTTATATAATTTAGTCAATAAACCACACTGGTGAACTTTGTTCAAGCTCCAGGACAAACTGTCAGTTGGATGGCTACTATCATTTGATTCTCGCAAGACATGGCATAGATGAATGGCCATTTTTACCTGTAATTTAAATCCTTTGCTTAAAACACAAGTGGTAGAAAAGGGAAAGTGTTACTCATCGATGCTTTTATCAATTATGGTTCCATGTCCAAGCTCCGAAGTCAAAAGGGTAAAAGATACAGGCCACATTGAGTGATAATGCATGCTTTGTTTCTCCGCGGTATTAGTGGAAAATCACAGATCATGGCACAATCTAAGCAAGCCACTCCAATAGTGGACTTTACACCAAAGCAAGAGAAAGAAAGAGAGAAAAATAATCATTCCATACTGTACACACAGAGATAAAAGGAAAAGAATTGAGAGAAGATAGAAACATGCAGGAAGCAAAAAGAAAAGAAAAGGTAAAATCTAAGATAGGACAGTTTGACAATATTCTTCTCACAGCTTATGATAGTAATATCATCAATTAATAACCGATCAACAAAAGAAAATGTACAATAGGAAAATGTACAATAGTCTCTCATAGGGTTCCATTGGAAATTGGTACTGCTCCTCTTTTGATGCTATCCATATGTGTTGTTTCATACACAGGCAGACCATTTGAGTAGGTACCGGCCAAGTCATAGTTTTGCAATTCAAACAAATCAGAGCTTGAATCACTCTCAGTTCCATCATCCACCTCATCGAACTTCCTACACTCCTTTGCCTCTGATGGATACTGGTCAACCCAAGTCCTGTCTTTCTCTAAATGTTGATTACCATGATTCCTGGGTACTTTCTGACCTGAGAACCCATCATTGAATTTATATTTCTCTTCCAGCCAAGATAAATCTGTGTTCTTTTTATCATCCAATATCTCATTTCGTAAGGCTATGGACTTCACAATCCCATTCTGCTTTGGCAGGGAAACTATTTGCCTGTGATCTGAATAGCTTCTGAACTCCTTGTAGCCCTTTGTAGGAGTGTGTGTATAAGGAGGGGGTGTCATAAAACCAGAACTTGAAGAAGAATACAAAGACTTTGTATCAGCACTAGTGCCTGAGCTTCGAAAATGACTAACGCTGCTCCTCCTTTTCCTCCTACCGCCGGGGCTCTCATCATCATCTTTCATTGATTGCGTGGTGGACTTTGATTTCTTCTTTTTGGAGCTTGTTTGATTGAAGAGAGAATTCAAGAAGCTGGCTAGTCTCCCACCTGGAGAGCTTGGTTGTTTGTATTTCTTCTCTTTCAGTATTTGCTTCTCCACTGTATGAGAATGTTGATGGAGATGATGAGGTAGTGGATTCCTCATTGGAACATCTAGGCTCACTCTTCCTCCCCTCCAAGAATGTTTATGATCTTCTCTCATGACTTTCTGTGTGTAAACTGCGCCATTATAGCCTGCACCTGCTTCATTGTATCCCGAGAAGTACCTTGCTGCCTCAAAAACACCAAGCTCGTCAGAATCATTTCTCCGATGCAAGGACTTCTTGTAAGGTTTACCGGTGTCTGATGAGAGTCCGGTGATGGACATGGTTGAGAAATATTGAGGGATTGCTAATATGTGGCTGGAAAGCTGATTTTGGAAGTTAATGCCACAGGATATGGAAAGGCATTGAAAGCAAAAGAATTATTATGGGAGAAGGGAGTATGCTATGCGTGTTTGTAGAATAGAGGGAACGGTTTAGAAATGATTGAGAGTGGTGGGAGAGGTGTAGCTTTATAACAATCAATTAATCGCTTTGCCACTGTCAGTAACATTATATGATGAAGAGTGTTTCTGGGAGAGACCCACATTGATGTGAATTTTGTGCTTTCTAGTCTTTTAGAAGTGAAGTGGGGTACTGAGGAAACATGCTTTTATCCTTCTCTGACTGTGAAAACCAGAGGTTCGGTTGGGGATGGTGGGAAGCGAAGAGCAGTGTTTCCTTGGATTCTAGGGTTCCAATATGTATCAGTGGGGATCGGCTTTCGAGAATGTTGGCTATGGGGTTATATATGGTAATTTACTACAAGCTTACCTTCGCTAGCTTGAATGCCATCATTATAGAGTTGGAGAATTAGGTAGACCCCACACTTATTTTGAGAACTTGGAACTCACTCTATAATTATTTGGAATATTACATCATTAACAAAAATTAATTGATTGAGCTGGTGAAAGCACGGTTAGTTGAATTACTTTTTTTTTTTACTCTTTAACATTAAATTTATTAAAATTAAATTTATAATTTATTTCACTTTATTTTTTATAAAATTATTTTAGTATCATAATTTTAACATTAAATTTATTAAAATTAAATTTATAATTTATTTCACTTTATTTTTTATAAAATTATTTTAGTATCATAATGCAAGTTATAAATTTAACAGATTAATTCAATTAGTTTGAATGTTTTTGAATTTTTTTATAATTGATTTTTTTAAAATATTATACTTTAATATTTAAATTAATTAAAAATTTAAATTTTATAATTTATTTTGATTTTTATGAGGTAAATCAGTACCATGATTTGAATTAAGGGTTAAACGAGTTGATTTAATTTTTATTTTTATTTTTTAAAATTAATTTTTAATCTCTTTTTTAAACAATAGATTGATGAAAAATTGAACTTTATATTTTTTATTTATTTTATATTGAATTATTCAAATATTTTAATTTAGGTTTGATAGATTAACATAAGTTGGCTAGATTTTTATTTTATTTTTTTTAAAATTAATTTATTAAATTTTATTACTTAATGTTGACTGAATTGGAATTCTTTAACATTAATGTTTAAAATTGAATCTCATAACTCTGGTTAATGAAGTCAAATCAGATTAATGCACAGTTTAATCTTTGATTCTTGAAAATTAGTTAGCAATACCTAGTTGCTGTTTTGTAATATTAAAAAAAAAATGATTCCACCAATGCAGCAATAGCACGATAAACGATCCAGTATGAACACTACTTAATCTTTAAAATAGAGGTTAATAGAATGTTTAAAAATATAGTTGTGGTTTTTTTAAATTTTTTTATTTTAAAACATATTAAAATAATTTAAAAATATTTAAAATATATTAATTTGAAAAAAATAAAAAATAAAAAAAAATTCATTTTTTTTTTAAATATAGTACCAAACATTCCCTAAGATAGTTATGATTTTTTTCCTCTAGCTATTCTTTTATTGCTTATAAAAAAACAAAATCGACAATATGGCCCAGAAATATCTAGTTTGCCTCTTCTATGCAAGAGTTGAGGCTTGAGTCTTTTAATAGAGGGGTCGTACACATTCCTCACCTAGTGGCTCCAATTCCAGAGCATTCGTTGGACTCCCTGGAAAAATAAAAATAAAAGGTCTATCGTAATTTTTCTTGTTTGTCGTTTTGGAATTCAGGTGCCCCTTTTGCAATGTAATTGCCAGACAGCACGCTCCTCCGTGTGAAAGAACGAGCTAAAATTTTTTAAGAATGTAATTAGATTTTTAATTTATTTTCCAAAACTTATTAGTTAAAGTTTTGCTAATTTAGGATTATTATAAAATTATATAATTATTAATTTCAAAATCATATAACTAATTAAAATACATGTAAATTAATCTAGATATCTACATTAATTTATATATATATAAAAAAACCAGCTAGAGTGGATAAGATATCCAATTTATATATATATATATATATAAAAAACCAGCTAGAGTGGATAAGATATTCGCATGTGAAGTGGAAACGACTCTCTCTCTCTCTCTCTCTCTCTGTCGGGACCTTGGGTTAGCCCATATGGACTCGGTCCATTTCTTTTTTACTGACCCATCCTCGGTGCTGGACTTGGAGCTCGAAGGGCATTCATGTGGGCAGCAACCTAAGGTACACACGTGGTAGGTGTCATCATCAGCCCACAAGATGTCTGGGCCCTTCGAGTTGGACAATCATTACAGTTTCCACTATAAGGTCACAAGGTGCTGTCCATTTTGCATAGTGAAACATTTGAAGCGACAAAAATACGATGGCCCTTCTTTTTTTTACTCTAATCTTCACTGAATCATCAATACCACAATTTGCCTCAACAAAAATCCAACCTTTGAGAATCGAGACTGCGATCTATTCAATACCACAATTTGCCTCAACAAAAATACGTGAGGTTCTGGTGTGGTGGACGGGCTTGTTTCTTCTTCTATATCTGGGTTCGAACCTTATTATTCACGCTTGTTATCCCTGCGGTACCTTACTTGCTCACTAAGCTTGCAGGATATTCAGTGGGCCGTGGGGATTAGTTGTGGTGCGTGTAAGCTGCCCGGACACCCCACATAAATAAAAAAAATAAAAAAATCCCTACTTTGAGAATCGAGACTGCGATCTGTAGCCATCTCAGCGTGAAGTACCATAGCATTTGTTGCTGCGTGATAACATGCATTAATTTTAATATATTTTGTTACTTTGAAAAAAACATCAAATTAATATTTTTGGTCTCCCAATAGATCCCATCTAACTGAATTATTAGGCAACGTCAGGACTGGGTTCAGAATCTTCAATCAAATTAAATAATATATAATTGGATCTTGCATAATGTAGTTTAACTTAGGTTCTCTCTTTGGCTGCTTCAAGATACCTTAAATTTGGACAGATTTTAGTTTGTCTTTTATAACAGAATTATGTAACCATGAACACTTCGCCTCCTTTTCCAGCAGAGAAAAAAATGATAATAATATATTGATATTTGATGCTCGATATTCAAAGAAATTTTCAGAAAGCCTGTGTGAAAAACGTGATCAAGTCCAAAGCAATTGCAAACCACAAATTGAAGGCTAAAAAAGGAGAAGCAAAACTAAACCTGGTATCTACACAACGTGCCTCAAGTCAAGGACGTGAGTGAAGGACCTCTACCGAGGAAGGTGCAGAAGGCTGATAGGATGAATTAAATTAAAAAATAATTTAACATTAATTAGGGTCTTTAAGGTTAAGATATTAATTGAACTGTAGAAAAATAAGTAAAAAAAACTTTGATATTTTTTTTTAAAAAATATAATTCAATAATATGATGAAAAAAAATAATACATCAATTGTTTATGTACAAGTAAAAACAGACCTAGCTAGAAAATCCAAAACTAAATAAAAAAATTTAGAAATCAAGATTAATTAGAAAAGTAATAAAAACATAAATAACATCTTATTGTTGACATAATTAGAAGGCTTTGAATATTGATCTGTTAAATAATGATGCAACCACCTAGACCCATTCCTTCAGACATTTGATGGAAGCGAAGAGCAGCTACAGGGCATTTAACTGTACAAGTGTTGTCTGAGGCTCCAAAAGAGAAGCCTCTCACACCTAAAGGCACGCGCGCCTGCCTGGATGGTCCCTGCGTGTCCAGGCCTTCAAAAATACCCGGGCTTGCGGAACTTCAATCCAAACTTTCCTGCCTGGACTTTCACTTTTTTGTTTTAGAAACGTATGATCTTTTGCTCTTTTTTTTTAAATATATATATAAACAAAATAAGACAGACAGTGCTTCAATGAATTCCGATCATTAATGATGGCTGAAAAATTAATGGTTTATTTTTTTGGGTTTGAAATTCATTTTCTAATCCTTTTTTGTCTAAAAAATATTTAAATAACACTCTTATAATATTAAAGAAATTAACTTATCAAATAGAATATAAATTCAAATTCAAAAATATAAAATCAAGTAAATTTTTTTTCTCAAATTTAATATATTTTTCTCAGATAATATTAAGATTAAAAACAATCACCAGCAAAATCTTATTATTAACTGAAATTAGTTGATATTAAGAGCAATTTTTTTAATATTTAAAATTGATGATAATCAATAATTTTTTCTCTTATAAATGAAATTCCATAAATTTATATTTAAAAGATAATAAATAAATAAATAAAACTTTTGAATGAAAATTTATTTTTTACAAATTATAAGGATTGTGAAGGTTAAAAAGAGAAAGTAGGTAGATAAAAATAAATTTTAAAATAAAAAATCAAATAGTAATGAAATTCCTACCTTTGTATTCCTACTTTTATATTCTCTTGAATTTAATAAATTTTAACAAATTATATCAAGCATAGAAATATATAATTTGAAAAAATAAAAATGAAAAAAAAAAGATTATATGAGATTTAATGTTTATTTGAGATTGCATTTAAATAAAAATTGATTTAAATTTAAATTTTTTTGATTTAAAGTTAAATTTTTAAAAATTTTGAATTTTTTTTATATGTTGATGTTAAAAATAAAAAAAATATTTTAATATATTTTTAAATAAAAAATAATCACTGTTATGTTCTCTCTTTATATGTGATATAATAATCAGTAACCAGAAAGAAAAAGGACGTTTGCTAATTTTATAAAAATAGAGGAAAAGTAGTTTTCTGGGCCAACCACAAGTCGACACGGCTGTGAATTTGACGGAAGCCCACCATTGATGGTGACTATCAGGAGATAGTAGTCGCAGAGAAGTAGTGCGCATTTGGAGTCATTATTATGGTCCTCAGAAAATGACAGCAAACCTAGCTGTCTTGCTCATTTCTACGCACGTATGTCGCATGGTGTCTCGTCCATCACATCACTTGTAGATGAGATCAACAAGCATAGCGCGTCAGTGTCTTGAAAGTAGGTGAAACTCTAATTTTTTTAAATTTATTTTTAAAATTTTTAAATTATTTTAATATTCTAATATAAAAAATAAAAAATATTATTTTAATATATTTTCAAATAAAAACTCCATTAAAAAACAATCATTATACATCCAAAAATAAATAAATATTAATATATTTTATTATTATAATATATAAATAGTGCAATAAATAAAATTTACTCTGTAATTTCTCATTTTACAAGAAATAAAATGGACTGCCATTTCGTATTTGTGATGTACTTGTATTGAAATGGATGCAGCAAAACTACATATCAATATTAATCCAGCTTAATGACTGCATATGTGAGATTTTCACTCTTTATTGTTTTCTAAATTTATTAAAAACAAAAATAAAATTGAATAATGTATACAAGAGTAAGAAAAAAGAAGGAAAAATAATAATTCCGTCTAGAAGTTTAACATTATACATAATACAAAATATTATGTAGCCAAAATATTAAATATCTGTTGCCCGGAATACATGGTGGAAACCTTATCAGAGTTGCGAAAACGAGTTCAACGAAAACAATTCCACACCACTCAAACCTCCTTTCTAGTCTCTGAGGTGGGGTTTAATGTTTGCTTCTTTGTATTCTTTTAGGTGGGTTTTAATTATTATCCAGGGATAAAAATGATAAAAATAATAAGTATTTTGAAAATAAACAAGAACACGACACAAGAACAAAAATATATTTAGTGGTGATATATAAAGAAATTGTTTTACCCTAAATAAAATGATAACAATAATGCTGATTATATATTATGTATGTATTTTATTTAGTTAATGGTAAACAATTAAACAGGACATAATAGAATATAAAAAAAATTGTTTTACCCTAAATATAAATGAATTATTATCAAACTTATATATTTAAAAACAGAATTAAATATGAAATATTTTTTTAGTTTGATTTTAATTGAATATATAATAATTCTAATTATAAAACGTTTAAATCAATTTAGTTTTATTAAAAAAAAAAGAATGATTGACTTGATTTAACTCTATCAAAAATCTATGTTAATCTGATTGACTTGGAGTAAAATTTATTAAATTTTTTTATTAAAATAATATTATTTTAATTTTTTTAAAAAATTAAAATTAACTGTATTTTAATTTTTTAAAAAAATTAAAATTAACTGGAGGTAATACTTTTAGCCTATGACTTAAGCCATGCCTAAGTTGACCGCATGTTGGGTTTTAATACTACATAATAATAATTAAACACCACCCTAAATGGTCAAGGATTCTTGCACAAGACTTTGATCACTTTCTATTTGAATATATATCAAACTCTAACCTCTTTGTTCCTGTGTGGCAGTGTATAACATTTATTACCTCCTAGAACTTTTATAATTTCTCTCATACACATTTGCAGTGTCGAAAAAACATAACTGAGCTTCTGGCGGTAATAATTCATCAAATGCTTTTTGTATGGAAGCAACTAATTCATAAATTGCTGTAAGAGCTTCTTGTTGTTGTGAAGACTGAATGGCTCGAGAAAACCCAGGTCCCAACACATTCAATTCAGGACTACTAGGAGGTATAAAACAAAGTCGAATATTTATCAAACCTAGCTTTATCTCTTCTTCAAGGAATTCCATGTCACTTGGATCACTATGCAGCCTTACATTACCTTGTTGGATGAAAATTGTTCCACTGCCATAGCATCTTGGCCAGTTAATAACCGGGAGAACCTTCTGAATTAAACATGATCGACAGATAGAATGGTTCTTGTCAAGGTTCCTTCACAACAATCTCTGCTAGTACGCTTTGCTGGATCCTTATATATAAAGGAAAATAGCAGTTTTTTCCTGAAAATTCTTCATTGCACATTGGATCATATCGATGGCGTTCTACAGCAGCTAGAAACATGATCTTGGTAATGAAACTTTTCCTTTTGCCAGCTCGCAAAAGGCTCAACTCCATTAGGGAGGAGATAATATCTTTATGTGGTCTCTGACATGTAAAATCACTTGTCATCAATGGAAATAAAATTAAACATGAACACAGGCGTGCTGTTCAGACTACAGTGATCAAGCACGGAAAAGCAAAATTCTAGCCTGGCCTTTTTATTTGCCTCTGTTAGATGAGGCTTCATTGCATTTGAATGTGGCCTAAGAGCACCTTCTTTGATTCGTCTATATATAGTGTTGATGTGTTGGCACATTCAAGGCTTTTGAGAGTGAGAGAGAGAGAATTGATTGACGACGCAATGGAGTTTCAGATACCAAATTAAAATCAATTTCAATCCTTTTGCGTCCAGTCGTCCCGGTTTTTAAGACGATACATCAGCTCTTAAACCATTAGATTGATAAGCTTGTCCTTGCTGCCAAATTCGACGGACAGTCCGTGTTGATACTGAAAATATGTTGGCAATAACTTTTTCAGAGACTCTACTTGCTTTCCATTCCGACTTTGCTTTAGCAAGGACTCAAATATAGCCCTTCGTTGCTCATTTTTTAGATTCCTTTTCGATCTGGATGACGTAGAGATTGAATTCTCCAGGTGGTTCATAGTACATAGAAGAAGTCTAGTACTGCAGTTAGGTAAATTTAGCAAGTTTAGTGATGGACATGGAAGAGTAAATAATGGGATAGATTTTGATACGATGAGAAGGGTAAGCTTTTCAAGAAAAGATTGTATCGATAAATATTTAAGCATCACATGAAGAGGGATATCTTCTTTAAAAGCCATTAAGTTTATGGAATTAAAAACATTGATCTTCTGGGCTAATTTAATAAGAGGGAAAGAAAAATCTAAAATGAAGATTCTTGGCGCTTTCCTTTCAAACAAGGTTTGCTGCTTTTAAATAAAATAGAATTGGGAATAAAACCACTGATCATTAGCGGAGAAAATTCTAGAATTATTAAAAAAAAAAACACAGTCTGTATTTTTTGGTGAACCTAATTTCCCGCGAAAACCATGAAATATTAGTAAGAAATATTTCATGTTCGTTGGTAATTATCGGTGAAAGTATTTTCATCGGCAAGATTTTCTTTCATGTGGTGCAATCCCGGGAACTAACATTTCTATGCCGGTAATTAAATTTTTAAATCTCTTACAACAGACAGTGTGAGTTCAGATATATATGAGGATTTTAATAGATTACTGGTAATTACGATGATCCATAAAATCTACCTTTTCTTCCTCATAGACCTAAAACGATTATTGAATCCTAAATTTACACTCCATAGTAGTACCGGTGAGAGCGGAAATGGAAAACCCTAGTTTAATAGTCTCGAATACTAGCAGTACGGGGTTTGGCACATCTTTCCATGCGCCTTCAATTCAATTCGAAGGATCCCAATGAGAAAACTTATTGCTTCAAATATTGGTTGGCAAATCCCAGATGAAAGCTACTGTATATGCAATTCAATTAAACATGTGTCAGTTGGTCATGGGTGGATAGAGAATAATGTCCTTTGTTTTTAATTCCTTGTACAGTTTGCATCTTGATGACGATGAAAAATATTAAATCAGGTAAAATTCTATATTTCTGCTCTATTTCAAAAAGTTGACCCCATGAAAACTTAAAAATTCAGCATTTAATATTTTATACTAATTATATCAAGCATGTAATTACATGGTGGAAGGAGAAAGTTATCAAAAAAACAATAAAAAAAAGGTGATAAGATAGTATAGATTCTAGCTATCATAAAGATTGATATTGTGTTAATAAGTTTTATTTGATGATAAAAAACTTAGTATAATATTTTTTAGCTTTCAAGTGACATGAGATGATAGTTTTTGGCTGATTTTTGGTTTTTATCCTATTTTGGGGTATTTAATGTTATTAATGAAGTTACTTAGATCTTCAGAGTATTTTTAGATAAAAATAATTGAAAAATAAATTTTTATACCTAAGAGTCATCTCCATTAATTTTTCTGATACTTTTGTGGTTGTCAAATTCCAGACAATGAATGACAAAGTCATCTACTTGTTTTTATTTAAAAATAAAATAAATATTTTATCCCTTGTATATAAAAACAAAACAAGGACCTAAACATGCTGGGCCATCCATGCTAGGCTTGCTCCTAACTTTTTTTTTTTGCAATATTGTTTTACATGAAATCAATTAGATTGCACTTTATTTTTTTGTTTAGTTTTGGCATCTTCCACATATAATATTATATTCTTATGAGAATTTTAACTTTATTTTTTTATATTAATATATGACTAATATATAAAAAAAACTTGTGAATATTTAATTAACATAAAATTTATATTTTTTAAAGATTTTTAGTATATTTTTATCAAATCTATCAAATTTTTTTTCTTCAACCATATAAAAGATACTATAGCTTTGTTTGAATGTTTTATTTTAAATCTGCTTTTACTATCATAATGGATTTTAGCATAGAAAATGTCATAATTTTGTGTTGATCCTTGGTTTTATGAGTGAATTTTGTTTATTTGATTAAATAAATGATAATTTTAAAAAATACAAACTCTAATAGGGAATCTTCAAGTTTGAACCTGTATACTGAGTTTAACAATAACATAAAAAATACTTATATTTTTAGAAAAAATTGATTGAAACACAAAGTAGCATATAAAGAGATTGTTTGACACCCAAATTGGGTAACACTTAAAAAAAATATTTTAAATGTTTTTGAATAATAAATAAATATTTTATCCCTTGTATATAAAAACAAAACAAGGACCTAAACATGCTGGGCCATCCATGCTAGGCTTGCTCCTAACTTTTTTTTTTTTGCAATATTGTTTTACATGAAATCAATTAGATTGCACTTTATTTTTTTGTTTAGTTTTGGCATCTTCCACATATAATATTATATTCTTATGAGAATTTTAACTTTATTTTTTTATATTAATATATGACTAATATATAAAAAAAACTTGTGAATATTTAATTAACATAAAATTTATATTTTTTAAAGATTTTTAGTATATTTTTATCAAATCTATCAAATTTTTTTTCTTCAACCATATAAAAGATACTATAGCTTTGTTTGAATGTTTTATTTTAAATCTGCTTTTACTATCATAATGGATTTTAGCATAGAAAATGTCATAATTTTGTGTTGATCCTTGGTTTTATGAGTGAATTTTGTTTATTTGATTAAATAAATGATAATTTTAAAAAATACAAACTCTAATAGGGAATCTTCAAGTTTGAACCTGTATACTGAGTTTAACAATAACATAAAACATACTTATATTTTTAGAAAAAATTGATTGAAACACAAAGTAGCATATAAAGAGATTGTTTGACACCCAAATTGGATAACACTTAAAAAAAATATATATTTTAAATTTTTTTGAATAATTTTGATATATTAATGAAAAAATTAATTTAATATCTTTTTAAATAAAAATATTTTAAAAACTAACTTTTATTACTATTCCAAACAACAAAAAATAACTAACTTGGTATAATTTTTTTTATTAATAAGATGTTTAGATCAGTTTATGTATATTTTAATTAATTTTAAAAATCTAAATTATATAACCATATAATCTCTAATAATTTTAGAATTTATAAAATTAAAACTAATAAATTTTAAAAATATTTTAAAATATAACTAGTTGAGCATATAACTTAAACGTACATGACAAGTTGATAAAGGGTTCATCGTCAAAGAAAAAGAAACTTAGTAGTATGGGGGGGCCTTCATTGCTTTAACGTCGACACGTAGCAACCGCGTACTGTCGTGGATGCTAAAAGGTACTGTGGTGAGCATGTGGAGTCAGTTTGCAGCAAAATAAAGGAAAAATTCTAAAGGGGTTGGAAAAACAACTCAACAGTGGAAGATAAGCTCAAAGAATTGATGCTTAAATAGCAATGCTGAGATTATTATTCTGATTTTTCTTTTTATTTTAATAAAAAGTGGTATTTGGATTATTCTTAACCTTGACTTGGAAAGCCTTGTATCTAACTTAGAGTGAGGTTGATTTTCTTTTTAGATTTTTTTTAAGATGTAATTTTAGTGTTCTACTTTTAGTTTTGATCATATGTTAATATTAACAATAAAAAAATCTAAAGAAATTATTTTAATATATATTAAAATATTTTTTTTAAATCGTAAAATTATTTTAATATATATTAAAATAAATATATTTTTAAAATCTTCCTCTACAGTACCAAATACATTTTTAAACCCAATCAATTAATGCTAAAAAGTTGAAAAATATTTTAAACCCAATCAATTAATGCTAAAAATTTGAAAAATAAAAATAAAAATCCACGAAATTTTAATCAAAAGGCAAGTGCCCCCCACAGGTTAATTAACCTCCCTTCCCTCCTGTCTATTTTAGTAAAAGTACTCATTTACTGTAGCAAACAGTCCCTGGCTACGAACCGCCTTCACAAGTAATAGTAAAGAAAGCATCCTTGCCCTAGAGAAGAAGAAGAAGAAGCAAGGTAAACAAGATCTAGATGATCCATATTTGGTATTAAATCATAAAAAAATCAAAAGAAAAATAAAAAATAGTAAAAAGGAATATGGGAAGGGGGAGGGTAGAGCTGAAGAGGATAGAGAACAAGATAAATCGACAAGTAACATTTGCTAAGAGAAGGAACGGGTTGCTTAAGAAGGCTTATGAGCTATCAGTTCTTTGTGATGCTGAGGTTGCGCTCATCATCTTCTCCAACAGTGGCAAGCTGTTTGAGTTCTGCAGCAGCTCCAAGTACGTAACCCCCCTTGTAATTAAACATAATTATAAATTTATATTTCAAAGTATAATCTCTCTTCTTTCCAGTCTCTTATAATATCGTTTCGATGTTTTTTTTTTAAAAAACCTTTCCAATAAACAAGTGTTATAATATTTTGTTTGGCGACCTTTAATTCTTGGTGATGACTTTCTGGCGATGGATTTTCTTATTATTTTTTTCGTGTTTTAAGAATATATATATAGGCGGCCGGACTTTATTAATTGCAGGTAGATGTTAGTTTTCTAGGCATCTTTATGTCTAGATACTGAGATAGCTAGGTGTCTGTTTTATGAAGATCTTGAGTTATAAGAAGAATCCTCTTATGCAGACTTTCAAGGGATCAAAAAGTTTCAGTTCTTCTTTCTTCACCAGCAGAAAGTTTTTCCTCTTTCTTTCTTTTTTTCATTTCTCTAGAACAAGCAGTGCAATTAATTATCTCTCTCTCTCTCTCTCTCTCTATGAATATGAATTTCCAGAGTACCATTACATAAAAAGAAATTCAGGTGTCGTGCAGCTTGGAATTCACCACACACGCACGTACATACTTCGGCATATGGTGACAAATCAATTGTCTCTTATCTTGAAGAAAAATGAATTTTTAAGTACTGTCTCGTGGTTAAACTTAATATTTTTAATCTAGTCCTTCCAGTCTCCTCGCTGCTTTTGTACTGTCTCTGCACTCGTATTTAAATCGTTCTTGGAAATGCGGGTTCAGGGTCCAAGAGGAGAGGCAAGCTGCCAAGCCATGGTTAAATTTCATGTTTTATATTTTCCTCCTATAAATTAAATGCAACTCCATGGTGATCATATATATTAGAAACTTTCCTGATTTCATTTGATTTAAGTCCAGGTGTTGAAGACTTCTAGATATCAGTCGCCCCCCCCATCTTTCTTGCTTCCCCTTATTAATTTTAGTACATTTACTTCTTGTAAGTTTCTGATTCACAGCAACTTAACACTAGAAGTGTTTGTCTAAAGTAGGTTTTCACTATTTTCCCTTGCGGCTGTTGCTATAAGAAAATCAATTCAGACTGTGAATGATTTGGTAGCTATTAATTTATCAGTTTCTTTAAATTTGGATTTCTGAATCTAAAGCAAGTTAATTGTACTGCTGAATCTCATGTAACTTTTTTTTTGGAACATAATTCTTAATTAAATGGATTTGATTATGCGAGTTTATGATTTCAATTAATTAAGATTTTCACACACACACAAACACACACACATATATGAAGATTCAGATACAAAATGAAAATTTTAAAAAAGATTAAACTAATTGGTCATAAAATATATCATACAACAAATTGAATTAAAATCTAACTTAAATGCAATTCAACTTCAATCCATATATTTTTGTCATTCGCGTAACACGGTAACTTAGGGTTATGGCCTTTTTCTAAAGTTCAACTGGGTCAAATAGCTGAATTAATCAGTTGGGTGCCAGGATTTGCGAGGATATAATTCTTGAATAAGGGTCTTGACTTTCAACCAATGTAGATGAACACAATATAATTTTTTTTAATATTCTTTTCACCCTCTTATATCAAAATATCGATACTGCTTTTGTTCAAGGGAAAAAAAATATAGTGGAATTGGAATGTATTTATCATAGCCTAAATTTTTAAAATTGTTATTGGTTTATCACTCTACATCATTAGACACCCGAAGATACGCCTCAATGCATGTTTGCAAAGGTTGTCCTCTCTAATGTTTCTACTAGCCATTAATTAGGCCCGTGTGCAGGGGCTTCTTATGCAGATAAACGTGTTCTAAATACCTTTTGTTCTCTCATTTCTAATAATGGTGTCATTTGCAGTATTTGTTATTCTTGCCTTTATCTTTGTACAATATTTCTTAATTCCAACAACATGCTAACTTGTTTTAATAACAATAGTGTTGTGTCCATTGTAGGAGACAACTTCGTCTAAAATAATGAGGATAATAAAACAAACAATAAAATCATTAATGCGTAATGAGGATAATAAAAAAAGCAAGTCAAATAAAAAAAATAGAATAGAACAATCATGTGCATTAATAAGAGTGAAATCTTGATGGGTCTGTTAAGAAATGATGAGAGTGTTGTACCCGTTGATTTTAAAAAATAATTATTTATTTAGAAATATATTTAAATAATATTTTTTTAAAAAATATTTTTAATATTAATATATTAACACTGTTTAAAAAATAAAAAAATAATTTAAAAAAAAATATTTAATTTTTTTTAAAAAAGATTTTAAACGAGTTCCGAAACAAGCTTAGAGTTTTTTCCTAGTACATACAATGCTACCATTAGGTGTAAAGCCACACACCGACAATAGAATAGTATGGAAACTTGGCTTTTCTCATCTCCTTCATTATTGAAACTCTATTAAATCTTACAAACCTCGATATTGGATGAAAAGAAATCTACTGGATAAAACAAAAGGAGGAATATAAAACTTTATTAATCGAAATATATCAAAACATGGCAGAGTTGGGTGGAAAAAGGAATTGTTGTTTTGGAGAGCTAGCTTGCTAGCAGAAGATCATGTGTCGTCTGCGAAGAAACAAATTAAAACACAAATACTTTCAAGCATTAGGAACGTGATATATATTTTAATAACAGGATTAAAAAGAAAAAATGGATAATTAAAAAACCAAAGTGTTGTGAAATCTTATATAATGTTAATTGGATCAAAATCTAGTTTTTCAATTATAGATAAAATTTAATTATCATATAATTAAATCCTATACAGGCAATAAAATATTAATCTAAAAACTAAAACCGCCCATGTGTTCATTAGCTTCATTCCATGCCTATTGTGACATTAAATAATTTTAATTACGATTGATAAATATCTTATTCGGAATATAATGTCACAGAGAGATTAGTGGTGTGGGTGCCTCCGTCCCCTGATCGGATTTTTTGAACTCCGATGGTGCTTCTAGGATAATCCTGAACTGTTAATTGTTTGTGGCCTCGATAGAATACATGTTGGTGTCGTGATAGTTTTATAGTAAAAAATTAAAATGCCAGTCGAGGCTATATATATATAATCTCTAAAATATTAAAAACAAAATTCAAAATCTCTTTTCCGGATTCACAAACTGAAGAGAATAATTCCAAGGTGAAAAAGCTTTGTCGGAGATGATTAAAAAAAGAAAGACTATGTTGCGTGGAGGCCGAATCCTTTTCCTTTAATTGTCTGTCTTTCACTTCATCTCTTCTGCGTAATGACATTTATCCAGGATCGCGAATTTGTAGTAACTAAATGACTTCATTTCATTCATTGACATTAATCTTTATCATCTGTTTTCTGCATTTGTTCCAGCATGGCCGCGACAATCGAAAAATATCAAAGGTTCAGTTATGGAGCACTGGAAGGGGGCCAATCTGAAAAGGAGACGCAGGTAACTAAATATTTTGTCTTTTTTTCGTAACTCAAAGATCATGTTCTGGTGAAAACATGGTGGTGTCTGTCACTGGAAAGTGTCATTCGCACGGTATGGGTGTCCAAGTCAAGTTTTATAGCATTTCAAAGTACTGTGGATTTCTGATTATCTAACCATCACTCCCCTAAAGTACATTATATTATGAAATTCAGTAGAGTCCTTCTTTGATATTGCTCTTCTAAGAGCCTGGCAAAGAGAACAGGGGAAAACGTCCAATTTTAGACCTGAACTGTCCAGCAGCTGTTATGTTGGTTGATTAATAGCATTTTCTTGGCTGATCTATGATCTACGAAACTAAGTTTAACAGCTGGAATGTTATAAGCAGAACAAGTACCAGGAATACTTGCAGCTAAAAACGAGAGTGGACGTGCTACAGCGTTCTCAAAGGTAATATATACCACGATACCAGTTCACCCAAAAATTTAGATGCCATGCTTGATTGATTTGTATAAATATTAAAGTTTATTGAATTTTGCAAGCAATCCTAATTTTTTTTTCCTGTTTTTTGGTAAGGCAACCTGCATAAGTACTCATTCATTAAACTTCAACTTTTGTAGGAATGTTCTTGGGGAGGATTTAGGGAATTTGGGCACTATGGAGCTTGACCAGCTTGAGGATCAGCTTGACTCGTCATTGAAGCAAATCAGGAATAGAAAGGTATTTAATATATATAACCATTAACATTATTATTATTCCGTGTTAAATAACTATTTTAATTTAAAGTTAAAGTCGATGGAAAAATCATAATAAATAATTATTGAAGGTTAAAACTATAAATAGTTTTATATTACTTCTTAATATTTTCTCATATTTAAAGTTATGGAAGCTTTCTTGATGAATAAAATTTTAATATTATATTAAATAATTATTTTAATTTTAAATTTTAAATTTTTAAATAAAATCTGTTAAATAATTTAATATTACTTTCTAAGCTCCTAAAATTATTAGCATTCCTATTATTAGTGTGGAGCCAGCTGGACAATAATTTGTATAATCAAAGTCAACAATACTGAGCATCAATTCGGTATCACTTGCAACATTAATTAATATCTTTTGTCATTTATACTGATGTTTGTCTATAAATAGACAATATATCTAAACCTTAAGATGCAACACAAAAGAGAAGAAGAGGAGAGCAAGAAAAAAAAAGTAATTTTACAAAATTATAAGGTATTTATAAAAAAATAAATGAGGTGTTTCGTTTTATTAATAAAAAGATTTAAGTTTTTTTTTTCTATTAGCAAAGATGCAACACAAAAGAGAAGAAGAGGAAAGCAAGAAAAAAAAGTAATTTTACAAAATTATGAGGTATTTATAAAAGAATAAATGAGGTGTTTCGTTTTATTAATAGAGAGATTTAAGTTTTTTTTTCTATTAGAAGAGAGGTTATAATTTCTACTTTACTTAGTAAATTTTTTTTATATTTGCCTATGGATGTAGCTAATTGGATAAATCATGTAAATTCTTATGTGTCTTATTTTTTATTTTATTTTATTTCTTACCTTTTATCTTGTCGGGTTTTTATACCAGTATTCTAATAATTAGCACAAATCAAAGCTTTGATACTAATTTGTCAAGGGTTTTTATAGCATCTTAAAACAAAATTTTCAGTAGATATTACAGAGATTGAAAAAACATAAGAGATAAAACAATGCATATATTTACATGGTTTGAGCAATTGTTTATCTACGGAGAAAGATGGTACAAATATTTAACCAAGATCAAAGAGAGTAAATTAGCAACATCTAAACTCAAAACTCAAATATACTTGTATTTGCACAAACTTCATCAATTTAAAAAGCATTACAAGGAATAACTAAATATCATAAGAGCAACAAGCTTGTACTCGCAGAGAGAATGATGATGAAAAATCTCATAAGCCCAAAAACACTTAAACATATATCTCGAAGTTAGCATTAATATTTTTATGTGTTACGAAAAAAAAGGGATATAAAATATGTAAAATTCTCAAATAAACAAACCCCTCGTATAATAAACTACATCCCAAAACGAACAAATTGTGGCTACACAACTCTAAAAATCAAAACGGCTGAGAGACCCAAATATATACTTGATGGCTGCTTGCGTCCTTCTAAGTACTAATGCTCTTTAAATTGATGAAGTTTGTGCAAATACAAGTGTAATTGAGTTACATGGTAGGGATATAGGTCGGCCACTTAAATTAGAATTGATGAGGTGGGCGCTCGCTCTAACTTCCTATGAACTTACGACAGAGAAACTAAGAAAGTGCATGTTATGTTATGCTATATTTTAGAAAATGCAATTACTCTGTTAATTAGGCCATTCATTGTTTTTGCAGGCCCAATTTATACTGGATGAACTTTCTGAACTTCAAAGGAAGGTAATTACGTCTAGATTTATTACTACCAGACACTTGCGCGCGCATGCTATATACTTCGAATATGACCCATGATGTGTATATTTCATGCTTTTTCAGGAAGAACTGCTACTGGAAACCAATAATGCATTAAAAAGAAAGGTACAGCCTTGATTATGCTTCACATGTGTGTTGCTAAGGCACAGTTTATTGGTGGAAACACATAATAGTGACCTGCCATTTCTCGTGAATCTTTGAACAAATACCTGTACCTGCCTGGGATGTGGAACCTGAAACCTCAGCATTTACCCAGTTCATGATCTTACAGAACTTGCACTTGCACACACACACGGTGCATGGACGAACAGTAATCCACGAATGCTTGAATTCTGAGAAACTTTTAACATGAACGTTTTGCCTTAACTCTCTGAAATCCTAATTTTGGATATGTAGTTGGAAGAAACTACCGCAGCAATTCGATTGTCATGGAAAGTCGGAGAGCAACATGTTCCATACAGCTTCCAACCTGTTCAGCCATATGATTCGGTCGAGCCTTTGCAGTACAACAGTACTTTTCAGTTTGGGTATGTAAATCCCTACTTACCCTGCATAAATTCAAATGAAAATCAGTCAGTTTGCTCCGCTCCAGCTATTTTTTCGTTCTTTCCATGAGCTTTTCCTTTTGTGTTACAGTTACAACCCAGCGGAAACAGATCAAGGGACTGTGACATCCTCAACACAAAATGTTAATGGGTTCATTCCAGGGTGGATGCTTTAGCTTTTGAAACTAAAAAAATTCAAGAATTTGCCATCGGACTCCAAAACGAAATGAATAAGTAGCTCTTAATTATGTGATTGTTCAACTTTGCCTCATCCGTCAGCATATGTGTAAACGATTACGCAATAAGTTGCCTGTAACAAACAATATTCGGTGTTCTATTTACTTGATGAAATGACCGAAGTTTTCTTTATTGATGTGATTTGTTTGATAACCCAAAAAACAAACCTTGAAATTTTTTAGCATTTTTATTAAACTTGATTTTATATTGAGTTTATAAGATTAAGTTCATAATAAATTATTGAAAAATAAATCTAGTTACGTTGCAGTTCCCAACATGAAAAAAAAAATATTGAGGTCATAAGAAATTATTTAGCATTATTATAATTTTTTTAAGTTAATTTTAAAATTTCATGAATTAATTTATAAAATAATAGCATTGTTATCCAACAAAACTAAAACCACAAGCAAATCAAGCAAAAAGACCATGATAAAAAGAAGAAGCTATAACCAAACGACCAAGTCATCTTTTATAATAATTCTTTGCCTGTCCACATCATCCGCAACATGATTCTTCTCTATATTTATATGAGATCACACACACGTAAAAAAATTGCTAATATAACCATAAAAGATATCAATATTATTAAAAATAATGATATAATTAGATAAATTTATTTTAAAATAATTAAATTAAAAATATTAAAAAAAAATAAGACATGCATAAGTTGGACATGCATGCCCGATCTAATATAATAACCTAAGCCTAAACACATTTATTTTTTATTTTTTTAAGGGATAAATGATTTGTCATTCAACCTAGTTTTCTTTTAAATTTAGTGAATAATATATTATTCTTGTAGAAAAATAGTGGGTTACTAGGCTTCCTTGGTCACTGAAAATAATAATTGAAAAATCAAGGTACAACTTTTAAATCTTAAAACCGAGATCTTAACATAAAAAGAATAAAGAAAACATCCCATAAACCTTTATAAATTTATTTATAATAAAAAAAATCATTTTAATCAATTTAAAAATAAAAAATCAAATCAAATAGAAAAATCATGTTAAGCTTCAATCTATTTTTTTTTTAGTGTCTTTGAAGGTGAAAACCACACTTTTAAAGACACCAAAGTGTAAATGGTGTGCAGAATCAGACCACCGATCCTGAAACTTTCTCTCTTCTCAATTTTTTTTTTGTGGTCTTTTTTCTTCCTTCTCAAGTTTTAACAAACAAAGCATGCACTGCGGTCTTTCGACTTGACACGATAGCTAGTTTATTTGTTTTCTCTGCTGACGTAATCTTCGCTCCGTTTTTAGACATAATTAGAATAAAGATTAAGTTGAAAAGGTTTTTCTTTTTTTTTTCCTTTTCTTTTTTACGTTTTGGTCTTATAATTAGTTAAAGGGTTAAATATTAAGAACTCTTCTTCATATTTGGATCTAAAGCTAAAGAGTATTAAATTTAGTTTCAAAATATTCATAAAAATCACTTTTTAAATGCAGGAGGGTTAAGTTGTTATTATTATATAGTCCTAATTCTAATCTCTTTCTTAAACTCTTCACTAATGTCGCAATTAATAAATTAATTTTTTATACAAGAGAGAAGAGAGCAACTCACACTAAATATTTCCTCAACTTAACCAAGCATTACTTTATACGTTATTCACACAAATTTGAAAATTTAACAGATCACTTTCATAATTTTATTTATGTGATCGCGCGTGGTAAAGCCACATTAAAGTTGATCATATTTAATTTGTAAGAAAAATGATTAATGCGCATGAGTATGTGGTTTGTGAGTGTGTATTTAATTTTACATTTACAAGAATATAATTTTTAAGGCCGTTGATCTTTTGCAATTTTTGTTGATAAATGCGACTAGGCGAGCTGGACTAGGCGAGGTGGTCTGCCTAGCAAACTACCTAGCAGGAATTCGCTGCGGATTTCACGTAACAAATCTCGCAATCATATATGGTAATTACTTAATTAGTGTTAGCAAGATCTCCGCCGTCAATACGGAAGAGGACGAGGGTGTGGACATAACCCCACAATAAAAACAACTCTTCTTCCGATGAGTCCGTACATCTATGACATGCCCGGTGAAAAAAGAGAAAAGAAAGATTTTTTTAAAGAAATTAGCACAATTATATAAAAATTTTGGCAATTTTAACGTGGAACAATGAACCAGAATAATTTAGACAAAGAAGTTAGGAATTAAAAATAAAGAAGGAGTATAATAGGGGTCGGAAAATATGCAACTTTATAATTTTTTATTTAATTTATCAAAAATTAAAATTAAAATATATAAATAGTAAAAATTTTAAAATATATAATTATTAGATTCAATTAAATTTGTCTAATATAAATAATTTAGATAAATAAAATAAAATAATAAAATAGACTCAAATATGCATATGTAAATAGTGTCTTGAATATGATATTCTCATCAACTATAACAATACTAATTGAGAATTCTTAAGTGAAATGATATATTTTTATTTTATCATGCTTATAAATTATGATATTTATTAAAAACTTATTTTCAAGTAAGATAATTGATGCATTTTAAAAGAATAATACTTAAATTTATCATGTTTTAGAAACGCGACAAGTCGTGAAATTTAAACCCTTTCCAGAACAAAGAGCAAAGCAAACATAACAACTCCTTTTCTCTTTCAAAACAAGTATTTATCTCTCTAAAAATCCCACTAATCACTTTTTTTTTCCTTAAAACACCAAAACTTTAACATATACTTTAGTCTTCAAGCATCCTACAACATTTTTCTCTTTAAAATCTCTTGTTATCACCACCTAGATCGTTTTCTCATCCTACAAATAAGATAAACATATTATATTGTTATAAATCTGTGTCTGGTTTAGTTAAAATAAAATTATTGTTTAGAGTATGTTGTATTAATAATAAATTAGTTTGAATATTGTATTATTTAAGTATTTAAGATTTATTTTATAATATATATATATTTGTGTTTCTAAGACTATTTGTGATTATGAAATGTAATAATTTGTTATGTTTGGTTTTTGTGGTTCTTTATATATTTTTTAAAATGGGACAAGATTTTGGATATAATTCTTAAATAGAAGGAACTTTATCCGTATTTTATTAAAATTAATTTTTTTACTTTCTAAAATAATTAATTAAATTTAATGTAAGCTTAATAAACTAAATACTAAATCTCATAAGAATTATTTTTTTGTTAGGTTTAGATATAGAGAAAATTTGTTGTTAGAATTTGTATGGAATAATTTGGACAACCACTAAAATTTAATTTAATTAATATTGTACGTTGAAAACATAACATTAATTAAATATTATAGTTTTAAACTTAATATTTAAAAATATACTATTTTACCATAACTTTTTTACTCCTGTGTCACCATTTCTTTTTAATTTCTATCTGGGTGCCCAATTCGTCCGAAAAGAAAAGGAAAGGAAAAGGACGGGGACCTGCGTAGGCACTAGAATCCGGGCTAGCCAAGACAGTCCTGAGCCAATGAGAATTCGACAACTCACATCCAAGAAACCACTCCGGTTTTGCCCAATCCTGCCAATTTCACTGTACACCTCTGTACATTCACCTTCTAGACAGTAGACCCTCCTATTCTTTTCCACTCAACACCTGCGCATGCTTTCTATAAGGAAACTTTACATTTATAATTTTGTTCCTCTTTTTTTTTTCACATCTCATTTTTTAAGGTCTAGGTTTGGTGTTTTTTTTGTTTTCTCTTTCGTTGCGGTAGTGGGGTTATTTTGAGAAGAAAAAAAAAAGAACAAAGAAAAGAAAGGGTTAGGACATCTAGAGAGATGGGAAGAGGTAGGGTTCAGTTGAAGAGAATAGAGAACAAGATCAACCGGCAGGTTACATTTTCCAAAAGAAGAGCTGGATTGTTGAAGAAAGCTCATGAAATCTCAGTCCTATGTGATGCCGAGGTTGCCTTGATCGTCTTCTCTCATAAAGGGAAGCTCTTTGAATACTCCACCGATGCTTGGTACGTACTCAATTCACCCCTCTCACCGATGCTTGGTACGTACTCAATTCACCTCTCTTATATATATATATTATACCCTTATATCTTAATTAGGTTTTTCTTTATCTCTCTCTTCTTTTTTCATCTGGGGCTTTTGTTATTTTTTTCTTCCTTTTCTCCTTAATTTCTTTGATAGGGACGACATGGTGTATGACCTCTCTCTAACTTCCGATTTTCTTTTTGGCTGGTTTTTTCTTAGAAATGAATGACCTATGTCTCCTCAACGTTATCATGGCCAAACATTGAAGCTATACACGAATTTGTTTTAGATTTTTTGCTTCGTACACAATCTTTGGTACATATAAAGATAGGATCTAGTAAGTAATAAAATATAATGTACTGAGTATCTCTTGTATCGATCCTTAACAATCATGCATTTCTTAGTTTTTTTAATCTCCAGATGGTTCCGAAGTTTCTGCAGTGTACTTACATATCTATTACTTTATCCATTAAAATAACTATAAAACATATGCTTCATGGGTCCTCGAAGTCTTGTCCAGATAGATTTTGATGGCTGTGGGGTGATGCTGTGTCCATATCTGACTGGAGGAGTACTATACTCCCAATCCTTTATGACAGTTTTTCAGTTGAAGGTGCAACATCCCATAATAAAACATGATATCTGATATATCAATTTTAACTTGTTAAAGTAAGCTACGGATTTGAATTATAAAGGAGAAATCTTATGTATGGGTGGGTTTTTGTCACTGTGATGTACAATATTATGACTGTGACTTAATTTTCTCGCCATTTCTATATTTTTTTTCTTCATAATTTCCTTTAATTTTATTTATTTATTTTTGCCGTTTCACTTGATGTTTCATTTTAAAGAAAGCCACGGATTTTAACATAATATCAATCACATTCATAATGACATCTTCATCATCATAACTTGAGCGATAGTAATATTAGACACGGCAACAGTTGGAGCAATATTTCGCTCTTCCCTCCTTTGAAAGCCTGATTATCTTAGCACTGTTTGAATCTTCCTGATGGTGCTGCTTTTCTGACTGGTTGTATGCTTGATCCCTCTGCTCGTTGGACCGGCATGCTTTGCTAGTTCATCTTGTAAACTTTTCTAGGCTTTCTTGCTGTTTTTTATATCCATTCCTGGTTTACAAAAAAAGACAGCTACAGTTGTAATTTGTACATGCAGGCGCTCGATCAGGCTTAGGGAATATATTGGGATCTAGAGGATTGAGATTGAGCCAGATTAGTTGTCCGTGCTTTCATATTTGCAAACTCTACTCATCATGAAAAAATGTCATGTTTGATTAGGATTCTTAGTATAAATATATTGAATTTTGTGGAAAGCAATCGCATCATGTTTTTAGGAGAGCGTAAATATTTTAATATAAATTGGATGGTGTCCCTTTTTGACACTTTCGAGAAATTAATTAATGGATCTGATATCAACAGCACTAGTTATTTGGTTTAGAAATTGCTATTTGCGACATAAATTAGAAAAATAAAAAGATCGGTAACGGACGCCTCACAGGATGAAAATATCATAGATAAATAATTAACTCTTCTATTCATCAAGAAAAAAGGTAATTAATTGTACTTGCAATTTGGATTTGACACTGCTCGTAGCGATTTGGATTGCAATACTAATATATAGAGAAGTTTGAAGCCATTTCAATCAAACTAATTTTTACGATGTGATCTATATAAGAGAAACCAAAGAGATCTGGATGGTGAGAAGCATGCATTTAAGAGGTGGTGGAGGTAGTGGTTAACAGGCTGTGTGTGTTGTATATATATGGAGTAAAGCCTAAGAATTAGTTTTATATTAACTTTCTAATAGTATTTAACTTACTAATTTGGATTGGTCTGTAGACTAATAATTATGTAAAACTTATGAGTCAAGAAATAGTTTTATATAGATTCCTTGCATTTTTTGTTTTTAATTTCTAGATTACGTTTGGAAAAGATCGATCATTCGCACTTTATTTTTTTACCTATTTTTATTGGATATGCATTCCATGTTTGGAAGCATGCTTTCTTGACTCCTATAATTACTTATGATGCAGTTGTTGCTTAGGTACATTTGTTTCGCCTTCCATAGATAACCATCAGTAACTAGTGGTGGTGAAATCTCCAGAATAGAGCACGTTATGTATTTCTTTTTAGTACTAGATTTGCTCCTGCTGCATGGCTATTCTTCTGCACTGTGAAATGTCGAGAATAGAACACGTGAATATGTTTCTTTGTCAATTGCAAAATTTAAAAGTGAATTGTTCTGCTCCTGCTGCATAACTACTCTTTTACAGACAGCTATGTTGATGGTATACTAGCAATTCTATAATGGAACATCATTATGGTGCCATGAAAATATAGCCAGTTGCATGTTTTCTCTTGTCATTGCGTGAGATATAGCAACATGTTCAAACCCTCCTTTTGAAATATTTGAGTTTGAAAAATATCCATTGATATGAAGAGGTCAGAGTAGCCCCGCATTTTATTGTGTTGATTGATTCAATCCACGAAGATATACGAATCCTGTGCAAGATCTAATAAAAAAAAGTGAAACCCTATTCTGGTCAACTGTTTACCCCTGTTTGTTTTTTGCGAAGCAAAAAGCTTTATAGCCGGTAAAAGGTGAAATAGGAGATTGTTTGTTTTTTGCGAAGCAAAAAGCTTTAGAGCGCCGGTAAAAGGTGAAATAGGAGATTATATATGAACCAAACCTCAACCAAATCAGCTTCAACTGTTTGCCCCTGTTCAGATAGAAGATATGCATCTAAATTAATTGGATACGAAATCTGATGATCAAATCTCTAGATATGCGTGAATCAGTGGTGGAAAAAATTAGCTGAACGGATTTTCTTCGATCATAGATGCGACTCAGGGGAAAAAAGCTTGAAACTTTCTATTCCTGATTTCTCATATACTGTCAAGTTGTCTCTTTGGAAATGTCGTGGAAAAGGAACATATCCGGAAAATGAAACATGTATTTATCTACTAAGAAGCATCGTCTTGTTGTGCAACAGCATGGAAAAGATACTTGAACGCCACGAGAGGTATTCTTATGCAGAGAGGCAACTAGTCGCAACTGATCTTGATTCGCAGGTAGGGCCATATTAGTATCTCACCAGATTTGTTATTTTCTTAAGTTCTATTTCTGCACTTTAATTTCTACTATTGATTTGAATTGAACGAAAAGGGAATTGAAATTCATACGGTAAGTTAATGTACAATAATATTCATTAAGTTAGATTCAGTCACCATGTCGGGTTCCAATAGTACCGAGTTTAACTTAATTCGCAGGGGAACTGGACCCTTGAGTATAACAGGCTCAAGGAAAAGGTTGAACTTCTACAGAGAAACCACAGGTACTCCTACTCCGAACTTGATTGCCCGCATTTATTTCCAATTTTTTCTCACAAGATTTTCTAACCTCACCAGGCACTATTTGGGGGAAGATCTGGACTCCGTCAGTCTCAAAGAGCTTCAAAACTTGGAGCAACAGATTGATACCGCCCTTAAACTCATTCGGGAAAGAAAAGTATGCTATACTGCTATAGAAAAGCACGCTAAACTTTCTTATGCTTTTATTACTGGAATTATGCCAGTTGTAATAACGTGTTCTCTCTTTTACAGAATCATCTGATGTATCAGTCGATTTCTGAGCTGCAGGTAAAGGTACGTCCCCATATTTGCACAAACTTATGCTTTGAATTTCCATGATCTCTGTACAACCTTGGAAGATATAATCATCATTTTTAGAAAGCCTAATTCATCCAAGATCACCAAGCACCTGACTTAACCCCCCTTTTCCTTTTGAAGTTTTAGAAAGCCTAATTCATCCAAGATCAACAAGCCTCTGACTTACCCCCCCTTTTCCTTTTGATGTTACATCCCATAGGTTGACGTCAAAACAAGTCTCTAGTATACGCAAGTGATATTTTTCCGATTCATGTAGCACAAGAGGGAGTAATGATGTAGGTTGTTTTTTTTGGATTTAGTTGGTTTAAAGGTTATAAAACTGCTTTAAAAGGAAGAAAACAAAGGGGTTGCAAAAGGTGCAGAGAAAGAAATAGGGCAAAAGTAAAATTATTTCACTCTTAAGAAGGATAAGTGCTTTTAAAGGATAAATTATTGAAATCCAGTTTTTTCTTCTCTCTCATTCTCTCTAAATGCCTATGACTGATGCCTAAATTTTCCTGTTTAATTCTTCTACATTTCTATCTGCTTTGTGACAGGAGAAGGCAATTAAAGAGCAAAATAACATGTTAGTGAAGCAGGTGGCCTTCCTTTATTGTCCCAATACTTGCAAATTACATGTTAATTAATTTAGCTATTTTGATCAGTTTTTTGACTAGCTGATGATTCTTCCAATTGAATGATTTGGAAATAGATCAAGGAGAAGGAGAAAGCACTGGCACAGCCGGCACGCTGGGATCAGCAAGATCATGGCCCTAATGCTTCCTCATTCCTTTTACCACAGCCGCCACTGCCTTGTTTAAACATCAGGTAATCTTCCCTTGCACTGCTGTCGGAGCTACATATAGCCTTTAGTAAGAGGCGGAACTAGAACATTTTAGACAGGGTGTCGTCATAAAAACTATAAGATTAGAGAGCAAATATTTTATTTTTAAAGAAACCAAATACATAAATCTTATGAAAATTCAAGAACCAAAATTAATTTTTTAAAAAAACTTCGGGGGTGTCATGCTCCCCCAAAGCATGCAGTTGGTCCACCCCTGCCTGCATGGTTTAACTCGCATGACATTACTTCTCATCGTTTGCATCCTGATTAATTTCTTTTCTCTGTAATTTCACTCTAAACGTCACTTTAATAACAAGATTAATGTCAAAATGGACATCTAAACTCTACGGGGAATTGATATTTGATACATACTTTTGATAGTAACAACACCCCTTGAGTGATACGGTATCTATTTGCTCCATTTGTCATTGAAGTGATCATACGGTCACCCGGTTGGAAAATATCTTTCTAGAAAAGTAGTTTTGCTTTTCTTTTTAATGCTTGGTTAGTTATACTAATAAAACTAATTGATTTTTTTTTTTTTGAGTTTGGAATGCATGACAAAGGAATAAATCTCTAAAGGAAAGCATAGCTGCATAAGGATTAATTAATTAATTGTTGTTGGATCTAGTGTTTGATGTGAAAGCTGGTGTTATAGAATGTTAATATCGCCTTATTTTGAGCATCTTTTAATATTCACCATAAAATGTTTTTCATCGAGAAAAATGGGAAAAAAAAATACTCTCAAAGAGTAATATTTTTAAGGAATACCTATTGTTTAATTTTATGCGTAATCTCTCTTCTAGATTTTCTAACATAAAAGGGCATTTGGATTTCACCGTAAATTAAAATGATATCCCAATTAGTCCCAACCACCGCACATTAAAAATTCAGAAAATCAATGTCTATTTACTTATTGTATGTGGTTAGTGATCACAAATTGATTAACCATATATAGGTGCGCACTAAATTGTTATATAATACTAACTGATCTGCTGCGGTGGCAGTTACCAGGAAGAAGATCCAGAAGCGAGGAGGAATGAACTTGACCTTACGCTGGAACCAGTTTATTCGTGTCACTTTGGATGCCTTGGAACATGAATATTTGGGCGAAGAACACTCTGAAACTGCTAAAAAAGTAGTTTTTGGTTCGTGATGAAATTAGATTATATACACACCTTGTTATAATTAAGGTTTCACCACGTCAAGTTGACATAATTTATGACATGATCCTTTGATCGTATATCGATTATCTTTCTTGTTGGTGATAAGTAAATTGTTGGTGGAACTTAATTCCGATGTTTCAAGTTGTGTCTGAAATATTTAAGAAGACTAGCGCGGCGGATTCTCACAATGCCAATGGAAGGTCCTAATTATGAACTACTGTTTGTCGCTTCCCCGGCTAGAGGTAGCCGATATACAGCCATCGCAGCAAAGCTCTCCATATGAATTTACAGGGAAGGTTAGGTGGGCTTCTCTTTGCATTTTGCAGGGATCAGTTGGGTTATGGACCTTTTGTTGCCACAATTCAATTTTCCTAGGCCTGTGCGTTTTGGATGCTGAAACCTAACTCTAAAGTTCTGCTGAAAGCTACATAATCATAGGTCCAAAGCTAGTATAAGTCAGGCTTGAAGCCTGCGTTCTTTAGTAGACCTTGAAGCCCATTTATCACCTCTGGGCCATTGTCGCTCGTCTGCAAAGGAAATAATTGTCCTGGGAAATAACTCGAGGATGGCGTCGATGGTCAGCCTCGAGAAGGTTGATAAATGGCACCCAAAACGGAAAAATATCCATTTATGCACCATCCTGTAATTTGCGTTCGTATGTCATTCAGATTTCGTATGATCAAGCATCACTCTCATGATAAATAGCTGAGGGTTTTTTTTTTGCCCTTTTTTTTCTTTTCCGAATAGTAGATAGTGGGTGAAGTTAAATCAAGACCTAATTACAACTTTTTTATATGAATAATACTAGTTTTTACGGAACATTATTCGAAGTTAATTTCCTAAAATTTTCAAGCACTAGATTTATTTACGATCTATTAATTATTAGAATCCATCCAATCAACGTTTAAAATTCTTGGGTGGTAAATCTTGAAAAGAAAATATATTATAAACGTAGCATTAATAAACTTTATACACACAGCCTTTTTACTAATTATAAATTATACCTATGATAATTGCAAGATATTAATATGTATACAATTTATATTTGTAATGAATTTAATGGGTTAATTTTGGTTATTTTAAAAAAAATTAAAAAATATTTTTTTAAATTCATCTTTCAACATTTTATTTATTGATAATTAAATTTTATTATTTATTTTGATTTACTTGCTATGAGTTATTTTAGTCTAATAATATAGATCATATGTTTGACAGGTAAAGTTGAGTTGATTTGTATTATTTATTTTTTAATTTTATTATTTAATATTAGATTGATTGAGAATTGATATTTATATTTTAATTTGATTTATTTTTTATATGATTATTTATGTTTTATTATTCTAGTTGTGGGCTAGACAAATTATATCAGGTTGAACTGAATTAATGTAATATGTTGTGATCTTATTATTTTTTAAAAAAATTATTATCTTAAATATTTTTAGTTAAGTTATATTTTTTTATAGTTGTTTATTTTATTTTTAAATCCTTAAAATTAACAAATTATATCATATCAATTGTTATAACATTTATTTTTTTATATTAAAAATATTTTAGTAATATTTTTTTTTACCTAAATGATTGATGTCAACAGTTAGTGACTACTAAGAGAGGATTTTCGAACTTCATCGTCATCCATGAGAATCAATTAATTATCAAGACATTAGATATTGGATGTGTCTATTGATAAACCAGAAATTAATCACGACGTAACATCGTACTTTATGCCGACTAGCAGGGTCTATGAATTGGCTGCTTTCCAGACATGTAATAAAAGATGGACATGGCTGAATTTCTGGAGCTTTAAATCCTTATCCATGGCCATACAATAGTTGGTGGGTCTTGCGTGATATTTGGAATGTATTTGGATAAACACTGTTTCAAATTAATATCTCACACGATCGACCTCCTGTTACATAATTTGTTTTGCTGCATCATTTTGATGCTTGTTTCTCGAATCAAGATTATGTACTTCTATTGTTTCTTTCGGAAACTGGATTTACGTGTTCACGACCACTTTATTTCTATAGCCTTCACTGAATTTTAAATCAAAATCATAACATACTAAAGAACAAGTGCTTCCACCACTCGAGTCAAGCTTGAAGGGTATATAACCCGTGTCATTGTTTTGCTACCATATTGACGGAGTCGAAAGATATGTAAAATGATATTTGTGATCGAGATTCATTCACAACAATAGTTCATGATGATCGATCGAAATTCTTGGAAGACTTGTCGGGACTTGGAAAATTTTATGAGCAAATGATTTGGCAGTTTAGATAATGAAGTTTTTCCTTTGTAAATTAAATGACTCAAAATCCTATTAGTTAGGTTATTTATTTCTTGTAAGGGGGTAGATTTTTAGAAGTTTGTTCGGGAATGTGGTGCAAATTATGTTTTTTAAAAAAATAATTTTTTTTATTAAAAATAAATTTTTTTATATGTTTTAAATCGTTTTGATGTATTAATTTTAAAAATAAAAAATATTATTTTAATATATTTTAGTAATTATATTTTCAAATATTTTAAAAAATAATTATAATTATATTTTCAAATAAGCTCTTATTTATCGAGTTATTTATTGCTAACGTATAGAAAACGGCTCTAGATTGATCATTCATTCTGTCTTATACAACAAGACTTAGGTTTTAAAATTAATCTTTAAAAGAACATATTTCGTCATAATTCCTTGACTTGTCGTAATGTATATATAATGTTAATTCAAGAATTCTGAAGTTGTTAGCATTTTATTTTTTTTGCAATTTATCTTTCCTGCAATTTTTTTTTTGTGAGTTTATTTATAACTTCATGTTTTAACTTTTTTACTGCTTTATTTGCATGTTTTTGATTTATTTATTTCTTTTATTGTTATGCAATTTAACTTTTTATCTTTTCTTACACCAGCTTATTCTATGTGAAGTTGTGTAGTCTAATTATTGCAATAAACCTTTGTGATTTTCCACTCAATGAACTAATGAATAGTTTCCAATAATTAGTAAGTCATATGAACGGCTATAGTTTTATCATGATTGTTTTTCATGATTAATATTTATCTTGATTAGTATGATTTATTACTCATATTACTATTACTTGAATCTGGTTCAATATAAACCTAAAGATTAATTTATTGTTTGATCCGAACATACTTGTTTAAATCTCAACTTAATCTTATACTTAACAGGTTAGGGTTCTAAATGTACTAGTGAGTAAAAATAGATAACTAAGAAATAAGTTGAGGTTCTTAGAAAAAAAACCCTAATAAACTATAAAGTTGTTTTTATAGACAATAACCTAAGAATATATATCAGGTATTACATAAGAAAGACTGTAAGAAAGTAGTTAATAATGCAATAAATAAAGCATAATTAAAATTATAAAAGTATAAATTTGCAGAGAAAAAATACATATATGGGAGAAAGACTAGAAAATTACAATGAGAGTAATTCTCTATTTGTGAAAAAAGTATTGAATTAATGGCCGAGTAAATTCAGAGAAAAACCTCGACTGCATAGAAAAACGGGATTCAAAATCGAAAAAAGAAAGAAACCTAGTTATCCACGAATCTACGTGGAGTTAGGGTAGACAAAAGCAGGTCCAAGAATATTGACTGTTGACTGAAATTAATTGTCCAACCAGGTAACAAATATCATAATGATTGAGAAGTGACGACGTGTACAACGTTATGGAGATCGAATAGACGTATCTCCAACCATAGCCAATAGACACAGGAAGAGGGTGTGAAAAGACACGAGACGAATAGAGTCTTGACACACCCGAGTTAAGTTGAACTGCGCTGAAGGAGTAAACGAAGACGAAATAGTAGTTGTGTTCTTATTACAGCGAGTGGGGGCAACTGACACGGCTTGTGTGGGGCTCTTATTAGATTCCAAAATCAACCGTGGTGGCATCATAAAATTAATGAAAAAGTGTACTGCTCCCTCTCTCTCTCTCACGCCCACACTCAAGAGAAACCCGCATTTACATCACACACATGCCACTCTCTTTCCTAACCTTTTCCTAATTTCCCTCTTTCTCTCTCTCCTCCCTAAATTCTCTCTCTTTCAGGCGATCTTGATCTGGAACCTGAACAAACCACCATTTCTTGTCAAGTTATTCTGTACCTTTTTTAACAAAGTAATTTAAGGGCTGCTATTGTTTTTGATTTTTAGGTTATCAGAGCTGTAATTGAGGGGTTTGGCCATGTATGTGACCTTTTTTTTTCAGATCCATGGATGTGTTTGGGATTTCTGAGGGGCATATAGAGGATGACTAGGACCAAGTTTTTGGGGTTTGATTTTAGTGAGAATTTAAGTTGAAGCGGTACTGATATGTGTATGGGATTGGAATTTCAGTTCTGCCCTGTTCTTTACTTGGTTAATTTTTGTGCAAGTTGTGCTTCTTTATTTGGTTGAATTGGGTTCTAGTTGCTTTTGTTTTTAGGGTTTTGATATTTAAAGGGATGGAGGCTACAATTGGTGGAAAGTCTCGTCATTTCTATGGTCCAGTGGTGTCGGATTTAAAGGCAGTTGGGAAAAGGAGTTTAGAATGGGATTTGAATGACTGGAAATGGGACGGTGATCTTTTTAAAGCTAGTCCATTGAATTCTGCACCATCTGATTGCAGGAGTAGGCAGTTGTTCCCAACTGGACCTGTACTTCATGAGAATGCGGGTTTGTGGAACTGTTCATCTTCTTGTTCCGATGAAAATGACAACTTGGGGGATGAGAAAGGAAAGAGAGAATTGGAGAAGAGGAGGAGGGTTGTTTTTGTTGAAGATGAAAACTTGAATTATGAAGTTGGGTCCCCTAATTTGAAGCTAGGAGAGCAGGTCTACCCCATCATGGATGAAGATGCAAAGAGTGGAAAGAAGACAAAGGTTACTATGACTGCTTCAAATCGTGCAGTTTGTCAGGGGGAGGATTGTAGGGCTGATCTGAGCAATGCCAAGGATTATCACCGACGACATAAGGTTTGCAATGCGCACTCTAAGGCCAGCAAGGCATTGGTGGGGAATGTTATGCAGCGGTTTTGCCAGCAATGTAGCAGGTCAGTTTGGGTTGCAGTTTCTTTATGCGAAGAAACATTTCAGAGTGTTGCCAACTTTGATCATGATCATTGCAGTACCTTCTTTACAAGCTGTGTTATAAAAACCGCAGTACACCATTGAATTTGTATGCATCAAGCTATTGTAGTTAATATTATGCAGCCTCATTTTTGAGGCATGAGCATGTTAGTAAAGATGTATTTCTTTTAACTAGTTAGACCCAACATGGTTATACTTATGGGCAGGTTTCATGTTCTTCAAGAGTTTGATGAAGGGAAAAGAAGCTGTCGCAGGCGTTTGGCGGGGCATAACAAACGAAGGAGGAAGACGCATCCTGAAAATTTAGTCAATGAAGGTTCATTGAATGATGAAAAGGGTAGCAGCTATCTGCTGATAAGTTTACTGAGGATTCTCTCCAATTTGCACTGTAAGCACATCAAGTTTTTGAATTCTGTTGCTTTTTGCCCATGCTGGGTGAAATTGTTATAAATTAATTGCTGGAAATGGCCTACAAAGTCTTGACTAAATCAAACCTACTTGGAAAAAAAATTTCCATTATGCCAAAACTTTAAATATAACTCAAAGACCCTTCAAGCAGGATCAAAGAATGGGATAGCAATATTTATTTGGCTGTTCATGTATAAAAGCTCTGGGAAAGCAGGTTGTAGCCGACTCTTCACTTTTGGGGTGAGTTGGCTTGGGGGTTGAAGTTTTGTAGTTATAGGAAAAATTGTTTCATAGGCTTAGTCTGCACAGGCTTGACCAATCATTGAGAAATGCAATGGACATAGATAATTCGATTGATCTGGTTTACAGAGACCGATTCTATGCAGCAGCTACTAGGATTAGAGGCCTTCTCTTATTTATCATTTTACTTTATGTGGAACAAGGGTATTGCTCACAATTTCCATAATTATTAGCTGGTCCAATTGTCTTACAAGTTTCAAAATGTTAAAATTCTCAATTGTCTACCCTGTCTATTTTGGGAAAGAGAAATTATCAGGTACTTCTGGTGTATTGCTACCCCGCCACATTAACTACCTATAGGGTTCCATTTTTGTGAGTCAGGAGCAATACAATATACCAGAAGTACTTAATGATCTCTCTGTTCGAAAATTACAATAAAAAAGAAAGACAAGTGCCTTTTCTTTCCAACTAAAATTTTAAGTGGGTATCATTCTTTTGTGCACTTAAAAAAAAAAAGTCAATAGTATTTTCTTGTACACATTAGCTTCAAGGCATTTTCTTATAGCTAATAATTTTATGTGCCTGGTTATGTAAAACTATCTGTGATCTCTTTCCCCGAAGATATGTACACGTACATGTGTAATAAAAAAAAGCTTTGACAGATCCAACAAAGACCTGGGAATTAGATCCTGGTACTTTTCTCCCTCTCCTTCGTCAGGCTTGGTCGTTTAACTCCCGTCTCCAAGCATGAGATGCTATTTTTTTGAAGTGTAAAAACTGTCAGTGTTGGTACAAAGCGGGTACCAATTATTGACAGAAAGAACCATCTAAGTTCATTGACTATATTATGGACTAGTTACAAATAAGCAATCCATTATGGTTTTTGAGTCGCCTTCATCACAACAAACTTGTCCGTTATGCCAAAAGTGTGAAATCTTAACATACGAGTCCTTCAAAGGAGACAATTTTTCTTTAAAGGGAAATTTATAGAAAATATGTAGGTGGAATAAATGTTTCATAGACTTAGTCCATGTAGGTTTGATCTACCAAGTTAGTCAGTGCATTTGATTCACTGTTAAATTGGCTAGTGCAATAGGTCCTGATCTAGTTTACGTAGACTAAGTCTATGCCACAACTGAATTTCCTGACCTAGTTCAATGACCTGCCATAACTGTGACTTTTTCTCATTCTCCAGAAGTAATTTTCAGGATAAATCAGGAATCTCATTTTACTATAATCAGTTGATATCTGTGTGAGTTTTCATTTCCTTTTCATTTATTGTCATTATTGTCAAACTCTCTCTCCTTCGATTCTACAGCCTCTGACTTCTGTAAATTGCAGCAAATGGCTCTGATCAAACAAAGGATCAGGATCTGCTTTCTCATATATTGAGGAGCCTGGCGAATCTAGCTGGTACAACTAATGGAAGGAGCCTATCTGGATCACTGCAAGGATCGCAAGGTTTGGCTAATGCCAGAGCAATCGTCGGGAATCTTGATAAAGCGCATGATGCTCTTACAAATGGCCCTGAATCTGCTAGACCTTCTAGCTCAGCTTCTAAAAAAGATGATTACATTATTTCTCAGGATCTTCTACGGCCTTTGGGTCAATTTGGGACTGTACCTATTTCTGACTTGGTGCAAAAAAGAATATTGGATAATGATGCTCAGGTTGGAACACTTCAAGCTCCTTCAGGTTCACAGTCTATAACATTGTTCCCATCAAGAAACAACCTTCCAGCCAAAACAAATGAACCAGAGGCTACTGTTGGAAGGATCAAATTGAATAACTTTGACTTGAATAATGCTTATGATGATTCCCAACAGCACGTAGAGAACCTAGAGAGGTCTCATGCACCTGTAGATACAGGTATGGGATCTTTCAGTTGCCCGTTATGGGTTTGGTCAGACTCACAAAAAACAAGCCTGCCGCATACTAGTGGGAAATCTGATTCAACTTTTAGCCAGTCGCCTTCTAGTTCAAGTGGAGAAGCTCAGGTGTAGTTTTAATCCTTATATTATAATACGGGCTTGCAGCTTACAAACCCAATAGTTACTGGCACAGTGCTTGCGCACACATTTCACTTGACTTTTCTTTCTTAATCATTTTTCAGATTCGTACAGACAGAATTGTTTTTAAACTCTTTGGAAAAAACCCAAACGATTTCCCAGTTGCACTGCGAACACAGGTATGTTCTGAACTGCTATTTAGGTGGAATTTCTGTCAGACAGTTTTCCACTAAACATTCTGATACTATAAATTGTGGTGCATCTCCAGATCCTTGATTGGCTATCTCACAGTCCCACGGACATCGAGAGCTATATAAGGCCCGGATGTATTGTATTGACAATATATCTTTGCCTGGAAAAATCAAAATGGGAAGAGGTATGCCTTATGCTGACTCAGAAATTTTAGTTAACCTACACTTACTGAAGAAAGGAATTATTGATTTACTTTATCTTCATTGCTACATACAGGTTTGTCTTGATCTAGGAGCAAGTTTAAGTAGGCTTCTTAATACATCTAGTGACTCTTTTTGGCAAACTGGATGGGTGTATGTTAGGGTGCAAAATTGTGTATCCTTTATTTATAATGGTTGGTTGCCCTCTCTCTTGTGATCACAAATGCTCATGTTTACGCTCGAGGAAAGAAGAGCAGGATTTTGATTGGCTATTTGTGCTGCAGGTAGAGTTGTTTTAGACACTCCATTACCTATAAAGAGCCATAAGAACTGCAGGATATCAAGCATCACACCTATTGCTGTCTCTTTGTCTGAGAGAACTCAATTTGTAGTCAGAGGCTTTGACATTGCTCAGCCTATGACAAGGTGATTTTATCTTCGCTGTTGGTTAAAATTTTATCTGAGAATTGAGAAATAAATTTGATGTTGACCATCTTTGGAAAGTGGGAAGGACAAGTCTAAGGTGTTTTTGTAGAAAATTTTGAAACTAATAGTGATTAGTGTGAATTGAATCATACTACCTTTCTATTCCAGGCTGCTTTGTGCTGTTGAAGGAAAATATCTAGTCCAGGAAACTTGTTATGACTTGATGGATGGTGCTGATACAATGAATGAGCTTGACAAACCCCAGTACTTGAACTTTCAGTGCTCTGTACCAAATTTTGTTGGAAGAGGCTTTATTGAGGTGCTATCATCTGCTCTTTCTCTCTCATGATGTTGTTGTCGTCTTTACTTATGCAACATGGATGGTTCTGTATTAAAGTTCATAGTTCTTGTCCTTGGAACATTTACATGTTCATATTGTCGTACATAGTTCTTGTCCTTGGAACATTTACATGTTCATATTGTCGTACAGCAGCTTCTTTGCTTTAGTTCTTGAAGTCTCAACTTGTGGTATATTTTGGCCCCAATTTGTACGATTTCATGGTATGCAATAGGTTGAAAGCTTGATACGCTCTTTGTCAAAATTTTATAGCTTTTTGATGGCTAAACATGCATGAATTATGAAGTCTAGGATATGAGAGGGCTGTTTCCCTTGGTATTAACGACTTAGAACCTTTTCTGTCATTGACCTTGAGGCCCTCAGCCACTTCTTTAAGAAGGAAAGGGGATTCCTTATTTATAACTAGCATAATCTCTTTCTCTGTGTGTGTGTGTTTGTGTGTGAAATATTATTATTAAACATTCTACCTTGCTGAATTTTCATTTTGTACAGCTATTTTGAGAATTTTGGGTATTTGTATCTGTCAGGTTGAAGACCATGGTCTCAGCAGCAGCTTTTTCCCATTCATTGTTGCTGAGCCAGAAGTATGTTCAGAAATCCGTTTGCTGGAGGATGCAATTCAGGTGGCTGAGACTGCTACTGACATGCATACAATAGCTGAAAGAATGGACATCAAGAATCAAGCGCTGGACTTCATACATGAAATGGGCTGGCTTCTACATAGAAGTCGCTTGAAATTTAGACTGGGCCAGTTGGATCCCAACTTGGATCTCTTCCCTTTCAAACGCTTCAAACAGCTTATACAATTCTCCATGGACCGTGATTGGTGTGCTGTGGTGAGAAAACTCTTGGCCATTGTGCTTGATGGAACAGTAGATGCTGGGGAGCATTCCTCAATTGAGCTTGCCCTGTTAGATATGGGTCTTCTCCACAGAGCTGTGCGAAGAAACTGCAGGCCCATGGTGGAACTACTATTAAGATACATCACAGATAAAAAATTCGGTGGAACAGGCACTCAGCAGAATCAACTGGTTGATGGGCGCAACAGCAGATTCATGTTTAAACCTGATGTTGTTGGACCAGGTGGATTGACTCCTCTTCATGTGGCAGCTTGTAGGGATGGTGCTGAGAATGTGTTGGATGCCTTGACTGATGACCCTGGATTGGTATCTATTTCTCTCTGATATCTTTCAAATATTTTAACGGATAGCACATTCAAATCGGTTATGCTATAACAATTGAATGAAGATCACTCGTTATCTGTTTGGCAAGCATTTAAAACCATCTTTGACCATGCCCATTCCTTAGATGATTGGGCCACAAGCTGCACAGATGTTCTATTTCTGATCTGTGGCTTAGTAATCTCTGTTTGTCCCTCTCATAATACCTCTGTATATGGTAACAATTATTGCATCACATCCTCTCCCCTTCCTCGGAGTTCATTTTACTGATATCTGTGTACCTTGTGCAGGTTGGAATAGATGCATGGAAGAAGGCTCGTGACAGCACAGGTCTGACACCTTATGATTATGCATGCCTGCGAGGTCATTACTCTTACATTCATCTAATCCAGAGGAAAATCAATAAGAAATCAGAAAGCGGGAACGTGGTGCTTGACATCCCTGGTTCCCCTGTGGATTGCAATTTCAAGCAAAAAGATGGGAATGAATTACCAAAAGTGACCAGCTTGCACACTGAGAAGATCAAAATGAAAGCAACGCATCAGCACTGCAAGTTATGTGAGCAGAAGCTGGTTTGTGGTGCGGCAAGAACATCTCTGGTATACCGGCCAGCAATGCTCTCAATGGTGGCCATTGCAGCCATCTGTGTATGTGTAGCTCTGCTCTTCAAGAGTTCTCCTGAAGTTCTTTACGTGTTCCAGCCTTTCAGATGGGAATTGCTGAAGTATGGATCAAGCTAAGCTAGATCTATTTGTTAGTATTGCTGGTGCAAGGTCTAATATTCTTTTTTTCCCGTCCCGTTTCTCCAAAAAAACAAAAACAAAGAAAATCACCTGACACCGTGTATGAATTTAGTGGAAAATATGATGTATATGTGATAATAATAGCCGCTAATTTAATTTATAGAACTACAATAGGGAAACGTGTACTTCTACATAGACATGCATATAAAGTGGACACCACTGTTTTTTTTCCTGGTGGGTTGGGTCGGGGGGCAGAGGGCGAAAGAATAATTTATATTCTGTAGTCTCGACTCTTGAGGCTCTTGTGCTTTGAACAGGCTTAAACTTCTAGCAGTGAATTATAAGCTTCATAGCTTGCAATTATTTCTTCAGATTATGGGATTATACATTGTAAGAATTCCAAAGAAGGTTTCATTGAATCCATGAATGAAGTGGTTAGCAAATCCTTACTATGTCAACCCGGGTGCAAGTTCAAAGGGTAGCTCATGAGAACATATTTGTTTATCGTCTTTAGAAGTTTCAAGATCGATAATTCGCATTTGATTGAATTGAGAAGTTTAGCATAGTTTGTGTGTGTAGAAAAAAAAAAGAGTTGTTTGGAAGAAGTTCATCACTTCTAAAGGTTCTATGGAATGGAATGATAATTGTGTAGCAGTTAATTATTGAATTAAAGAAGAAGATGTGGTATTCCATTGGTATTCTTCTTTGTTCTCTGTTTTTTCGCTTTTATAAGGTTCAAGAGTGTTTGTTTGAGCAAACGAACGCAGTCAAACATAGTTTTTATTTCAATTCCCAAGTAGGGACGAATTAAACCCTGAGAAAAAGTGGTATGAAATTCTTTTCTAATTGGAGCTATCGTTGCAGCATTCTAACATAATTTTTGCCCCTCCATGTCGTCTAATATCGTATTTGAGTCAGATTTCTAAACTTAAATTCAAGAGTCTCTGTTTGTGATGAATTAAGAAAAAACAGTAAACAAATAAAATTATATTGATCAACTACTTGACTAAACTTATAACATAAATAACTATTTGACTAAACTTATAACATATCACAAGGATAATCTCATAAAAAAATATAAAAATAGTGAATTTTTTTTTTTTTTGCAATATAGGTAAGGATAACATTTTTTGTTTTTAGTTTTACATTTAGTAGACGCTCTTATTGTCCTATTATAGTTTGTACCTTTCCTGAGCAGGTCCCAAGTGAGATTTTATGCTTGTATTTTTCTTAACAAACAGTTGAGACGTCAGCACTGAGATTATTTGTTGCAGATATGTTAAGCGTTTGTGTTTAGTTTAGATTTGAAAACATGGGACAAATAAATATTAATAATCCACTGTGAATCAATCAAGTTATGGTCTCCGCTGCTGCATTCAAGTCCAACACAGACAGTAAGAGAAGAGTCCCAAGAAACCGAAGCAAATAATGCCTCTCTCCTTCTCATCTTCACTCCTCCTCTCCCTCACAACAAAAACACTCCTAAACTCAAAACCCATCAACAACTGCAGCAAAGCCAAATCCCTCTTGACACTCACAAACTTCTTCTCCGATTTGCATTTACCTCTGCTGCTACTGCACTACCTTCTTCATCTTCTCCTAAAAAGAAGCATTGGAAACAAGGTGAATTCCCTGGGATAACTGACACTTCAGTTCCCAGGAGAACCGCAATAAAAAACATCAAGAAGAAATTAGACCGCAAGAACAAAGCCAAGGCTTGGGTCAATAAGCTTTAACTGACTGCATTCTCAAGAAACAATGGCTCCAAGCACTTCAGGTTACCTACTAACCCTCTTCTTTTACTAGTTTAATTCAAAGTCACCAACTGGGTTTTCTTATTTTTTTTTATTTAATTATGTTGTCATTGGCAGCCAAATCCATAATTTTACTTAAAGTTTGGATCTTTATCTGTTTGAGAGTGTTAAAGGAACAGCCCTTTACCTGCATGAAACCGATTTTACTAGAAAATTGGCAAATTGGTGATCTTTTTCTGTGTGTTTAATTATGCTGTTGTTGGCCGCCAAACCAATAGTTTTCATTAATCTTGGATATCTAGATGTTTGAGATGCTAAAGGAACAACCTTTTTATCAACCAAAAGAAGCTACATGCATGAAACTGTTGGTACTCTAGGGGAGATGTGGTCAGCCCCAACGTGCCCACCAAATTTTCGACGAAATGATTGAAGAAGGAATAGAACCCACATCCGAATTTTACACTGCGTTGCTTGCAGCTTATTGTCGAAACAATCTTATCGAGTACAGTGCTTTACTTAAAGCTTGTGTTGATGCTTCGAGATTTGAGTTAATTGACATTTTGTATCAAGAAATGGATGGAAGATTGATAAGTCCAAACACAGTCACGCAGAATATAGTTTTGAGCGGATATGGGAAGCTGGGGATGTATGATCAGATGGAGAGAATGTTATCTGGGATGTTAGAGAGCACGGCATGTAAACCAGATGTTTGGACTATGAATATAATTCTTAGTGTGTTTGGTAATAAGGGTCATGTTGATTTGATGGAGAGATGGTATGAAAAGTTTAGAAATTTTGGAATTGAGCCAGAAACTCGCACTTTCAATAATTTGATTGGTGCATGTGGGAAAAAACGGATGTATGATAAGATGTCATCAGTGATGGAATACATGCGCAAGCTTCAGTTTCCGTGGACGACTTCTACTTACAATAAGTTATTGAGGCTTTTGCAGATGTGGGGGATGCAAAAAACATGGAGTATACATTTGATCAAATGCGTGCAGAGGATATGAAAGCAGATACAAAGACATTCTGTTGCCTTATTAATGGATATGCCAATGCGAGTCTCTTCCATAAGGTCATTAGCAGTGTCCAGTTGGCTGCAAGGTTTGAGATAACGGAGAATACATCATTGTATAAGGCAGTTATATCTGCATGTGCAAAGGCAGATGATTTGGTAGAGATGGAGAGAGTTTTTAAGCAGATGAAAGATAAGCAATGCCTGCCTGATTCCAGAACCTACTCTATGATGGTTGAAGCATATAGAAAGGAAGGTATGAATGACAAGATCTACTACTTGGAGCAGGAGAAAGACAAGATGATTGCCAATGGTGCTTTAAGTGATTAGATCATCAGGTGGAATCCATGGTTGATTTCTGACCAGAACGCTGCTACTTCTCACCTCTCAGCAATGTGAAATTTTCTCTGGGGAGGGGCTGAAATGTTCTGCTCAGGCATTTCTGTTCCTGATTCCTGGGACAATCAAAGCTTTTGTTTACTGGACGGGGGAATATCCTTTGTTACCCCTTGGGCTGCAACAAACTCTTGTAAATTGCTTCAGCAATCCTCTAAGCATATGTAAGATGAACAATACTGTTGTGATCAATTTGATTAATGTTTCTATGCAAGCTTTAGGACATCAATTGGTATACAACATTTTGTTTCCTTCACATTGTCCTTGTAAAATGCCATGTTTCCTGTAATTTTTTTCTCATTAGAGAGGTGAAATAAATGGATAGAACAGCTGTCGAGAAAAATGCAATACAGGTAGGATGGACTGCATCCTCAGTTTCGTAGCTGGAACTTTTTAGTGTTCACAGGAATTCACAATGACTGGTGTCAATACTGCTTACTGGGTTGGGTTGTTGAAGCCTACGGTTCCATTTGGACCCTTGATTTTAGCTGAATTCGCTTCACTTAGGTTTAGGCCCCCCTTTTCTTCGGCAAAAAATAAAACGAGGATGTAGGGGTAATATGACATCATCTTACCATCATGACAAAAGGCTTATTATTTGGGCTTTTAGTTGTGTTTTTTTTTATAATTATTATTATTTAAAGGTGTTTCTGAGTCGAGGCTTGGCATCCCCAAAACAACAAAACCAAAGTCCCATTGCTGGAGCCTCTTGGGTTGATGCGCAAAGCCTGTTTTTTCATGGTAATGGGGTCATGCGTCGATGTCAACAGAAAACATGCAAATCAATTAAAGAGGAGGCTATGCACTTATGCCAGTAGAGCAACCTGTACATCATCCTTCTTTTTGTTTTGGCTTAAATCAAAAGATGCCAATCATCTAAAAGCATAAAGATCCAAGGATGCCAATAACATCTTCAGGGGTCCCATTTATTTTTCCTCTTCCTTTTACGTTTACGTTGGAGGCAAGCGCGCTGGATATTGGCATATTTGCCGGTAACGAGTTTTCTTTTAATCCATCACTTTGACCAATTGTGTGGATCTTTTAATCCATCGAATGAAATGAGCTTATTACTGCTTTAAACAAGGATCTTTCTTTTAATCTAACACTTGTACGGTGTGTAGATTCCATCGAATGAAATGAACTTTTAAGTGATTCAAACAAAGCTAATGTTTTTAGGTAAAGTCGAATAAAGTTGGAAGATGGTTTACTTTTTTTGCATTATTGTATTACAAAATATCAAACCAGCTGTGGTGTGTGTAATCATTTACGGAAGATGGGTATGCCCACACTTATGTAGCTAACACTGAAGGTTGGAGCATTGCGGTCTACCCATCAATGAATAGCCAGATGAATAGCCCTGTTAAGATAGATTACTTACAGGATATTGAGTTAACTGAGTCTGGTAGAAGCACCGTATCCTTAGTAAGTAATGAGGTTGTCGAGAATGACTTGCAGCAAAGGGATACCATTGAGAGATTACCAACCTTTGAACGGATTACTACTGCTTTACTGGATGAAGTTGACGATGGCAAAACAGGAAATAAACAAGCAGATGTTAAAGGTAAAAGAATAGTTAATGTTGCCAAGCTTGGAGCTCAAGACCGGTATATGTTGATTGAGAAGCTCATCAAGCATATTGAAAATGATAATCTCCAATTGCTGCAGAAGCTTAGAGAAAGACTTGACCAGTAACACATCTTTTCGCCTTTTCAAAGAGTTAGTAGTACTAGTAACACATTAATGTTTCTAGCTATGTAAGCTTTTTATCCTTGTTATTCAGGGTTGGTGTAGAGTTTCCCGCAGTGGAAGTGAGATACAGAAGTCTCTGTGTTGAAGCAGAATGTGAGGTGGTTCATGGCAAGCCTCTCCCTACTCTGTGGAGCACTGCCAAGGGCATGCTTTCTGTAAGTGCTAGCATACAATAGCGAGAACAAGTAGAACTTCAAATGAATATCTTTTTTGCTTTTTCCATTTAAGCTTTTTGTTTGTGACAGGGGATTGCCAATCTGTCTTGTTTGAGACAAAGAGCCAAGATAAGCATACTAAAAGATGTCAGCGGCATCATTAAACCAAGAAGGTAACTAACCTTCAAACCTGCCCAAGTTTGAGTCTTTCTGGTAAGTGAATTAGCACATGCACAACTTGTTAATTTCAAGTTCACTAGTTTCAATTCATCTTTTTGGCAGGATGACTTTACTGCTTGGCCCTCCAGGGTGTGGCAAAACCACATTGTTGTTGGCGCTCGCTGGGAAACTGAGCCATTCCCTCAAAGTATTTTTACGTTTTCTAGTTGTATAAGATGTCACTTGTTTTTATATTTCTAAGTTGTCTTACATAAATTGTTCCACAGCTTTCAGGGGAATTATCTTACAATGGTTATGGATTGGGAGAGTTTGTTCCTCAGAAAACTTCAGCTTATGTAAGCCAATATGATCTGCACATTCCAGAGATGACAATGAGGGAAACAATTGATTTTTCTGCATGTTGTCAGGGCATAGGAAGCCGAGCAGGTAATCTTCAGGCAAAAAACTGGAAATTGTTTATATTAATCTGTGCGTTCCCATAAATCTCTTGCCAGATCAATGTCTCAAATTAGTGCTGTTCAGGACAGTCTATTTTTTTTCCAATAAAATTGAATAACTTGCTGTCATTGCATGAAAGAAATCTTGATGGAAGTTATTAGAAGGGAGAAGCGAGCAGGGATACACCCATACTCTGATGTGGATGCTTACATGAAGGTAAACTATTATGCATGTCTAATGCACTCTCAGAAGATAGGACTACACATCGTAGAGGTATTATGCCGAAAAAAAAATCATGTTTCAGAAGCACGAGGTTTTTTGTTTTTTTTTTCAAATTGACCTACAACGAAAATTGTCTTATCTCCTTTGTATGTTTAAGTATGCTACCGCAAACATTTTTATTCACCCACCAATCAGCTCTGATTCAGTCAATGCACTTCTAACATGAGTGGGGTGTTTTTCATTTGACTCTGAAATGAAATAACGATATGCTTCATACGGTGTAATCTGGCATAATTTATTTGAATGGAAGCATAATATTGACCACCAAGCAAAACGATATTGTAGCAGACGATTTGTTCCAACAAACTTATCCTGACTACTTCTCCAGAAATGTTTTTCCACGCATAATCTCCTGCCCTGGATATTTATGATGTTCTGTATTTATTGGCTAATTAGAACCTCAACTTCTGATGACAGGGAATATCAGTCGAAGGACTAAAAAGTACCCTTCAAACAGACTATATTTTGAAGGTAGTCTACTTGGCTTTTTATAGGGACACTCTTTGCTTCTTACTGAATTATGGTTTTGTATGATGATATTTTCAATCGTATTCCTCTATCTTTCAGATTCTAGGACTTGATATTTGTTCTGATACAATGATTGGGGATGCTATGAGAAGAGGTATCTCAGGTGGTCAGAAGAAAAGGCTGACTACAGGTATTGTCTGTTTGAGAAAAGAAATTTGCTAGTTTGCAGCATATAGTTGGGTTTGCATCGAAACTTCAAGGATTGGTTCAAATATGATTCCCAACTTGCCTTAATGGACTATCTACTTGCTGCATTGTGCAGGGGAAATGATTGTGGGTCCCACAAGAGCATTATTCATGGATGAAATATCAAATGGCTTAGACAGCTCCACCACTTCCCAGATTGTATCTTGTCTGCAGCAGATGGCACATGTTACTCATGCTACTGTATTGATTTCGCTTCTGCAGCCAGCACCAGAGACCTTTGATCTCTTTGATGACGTCATTTTGATGTCTGAAGGAAGGATTGTTTATCACGGTCCACGTTCTAGTATTTGCATGTTTTTTGAAGACTGTGGATTTCGGTGTCCTGAAAGAAAAGGTGTCGCTGACTTTCTTCAGGAGGTAGGTTAGCAAGCTTCGGGTTTCCCCACTTATATTTCATTGTATAATGAAGCTGTCTTACTATTTTACCATTTGATCCAGGTCATCTCTAGGAAAGATCAAGCACAATATTGGTACTGCAAAGAGAAGCCTTACAGTTACTTTTCCATTGACGAGTACGTTAAGAAATTCGAAGAAAGTGAATTTGGACAGAATCTTGATGAGGAGCTCTCAAAGCCATTTGCTAAGTCTGAAAGCCACAAGACTGCTTTGTCCTTCGAAAAGTATTCATTACCAAAATGGGAATTGTTTAAAGTTTGCAGTACGAGGGAATTTCTTTTAATGAAAAGGAATTATTTTATTTACGTATTCAAATCTGTGCTGGTATGTTGCCTTAGGTTAACGAAGGTTTTATTTACTTTAATTCAGTACAAATGGCTATCATGGAGCGCCTTTTCTGAAAACATTTTTGGGTTGGCTTTGTGCAGCTAGTGTTCATTGCTTCGGTTACAATGACTGTTTTACTGCGCACAAGAATGGCTGTTGATCAAATCCATGCAAATTATTACATGGGAGCTTTATTCTATGCCCTCATAATATTACTAGTCGATGGATTTCCAGAATTGCTGATGACTGTCTCAAGGCTCGCAGTTTTCAATAAACAAAGAGAGTTATGCTTTTACCCTGCTTGGGCTTATGCGATCCCTGCTGCTATCCTTAAAGTTCCGCTTTCATTCTTAGAAGCCTTTGTTTGGACAACTCTTACTTACTATGTCATTGGTTACAGCCCTGAGGTTTCAAGGTGAGCCACATTTTTTCAGCACACCAAATGTAAAGTAGCTATCTGAATCGAACTTACAAAAAAAATCGAACAGCCATGCCAGAGAACTGTTAGTATCATCTGGGAATTGGATCTTAGATTGTTCGAATGTTAATGTGATGTGATTTTTTATAAGGATATGCTTTCATAGGTTGCATTGGATAGAAGCTAGGTAATTTTCTCCTGGAGGTTGAGTAGGAATGTTATTCTTGTTCTGATTGAGCATAACTAGCTGACATGTCTGCTAGTTTCCTCACTGAAGGTCACTCCTTATTTTGGCTGCTGTTGATGTCGTAAATGACTAATTCTAGTTCCTATCATGATGTTTTTCTCAGGTTTTTCCGCCAGTTCCTTCTGTTCTTTTTGGTACACCTAACATCAACATCAATGTATCGTTTTATTGCCTCAATCTTCCAAACCGTGGTTGCCTCAACACTAGCTAGCAGTCTCATTATATTGATTGTTTTACTATTTGGTGGATTTTTAATCCAAAAACGTAAGATTTCACTAAGCTATTCTAATAATCTTGTCAGTAGAATTTATTCAGATGATAATACTTGAAGTTTTTTTTCTTGCAGCCTCCATGCCTGCTTGGCTGGAATGGGGATTTTGGTTTTCTCCATTGACGTATGGGGAGATCGGCCTGAG